ACTTAATGACAGATGTAATAAGCATGCATAAAATCATATTTATTACATGTGTCATGATTGTAAAGGTTTTACGACAGTGTTACAAACACCCTCTTCAAGTAAAGTGTTTTCATTTTACTTGAAGGTAAAGAAATTTCGCTTCGTTCAAGCTACTGTATGTCTGGCAGATTATACATCAGGCTTAGCTGCATATTCTTTGACAAGTGTCACAAGCGCTTAAGGCAAACACTAAAGTTAAAAAGATTACTACTAAACCGTCGCCTTTAGTATTCTCGAACCATTTGGACAAGCAAAAGGGTGTTTTTTGAGATGAATCCAACACGTCTGGGAAACGGATGACGCTCGCTCTTTGAATGCTTTCTCATCTTCTTTCTTTCACAGTCCTTTTTAAGTCTCAAGGACATTTGCACAATATAAATCCAGAGAGTTTTTCTGTCTCCTAGAATGCTTAATAAAGAGGTAAATTTATGTGTAATACATATATTTATGAGTTGCTATAGGGCTTTCTTGAAACCCCTACAAGTATGATTGATGGTGCACTACATTCCGTCCTTGTAAGCAGATCAAGCATTAATTTTTTTTGGAAATATAAAGACGTTTCTTCATTGTATGGTTCTGTCCCCTATAGATATCTTTTTATTAAAAGTTTTTAAGCATACTGGACATAAAATACCATTATAGCCCTTGTCAGTGTTCAAAGAACTTCTTTGCTGGTTACATACATTACCCTGACTGACTACATAATTAAGTACTTCGTATAAAACTCATAAAGAGTCTCAGACCTCTGCTTCAATAGTAAGCATTAATCAGTTGAGACCACAAGCTGTAAAAATAGATTAAGCTATAACCAGGCCCACACGGGATCTGTGCCCGCCGAACAAGATATGTGGAAAATTAATTCATCCAGCGCTCACAATGTTCTGCTCTTGCAGGTTCAACTCTTAAATATTTTGTCTAATTTGACTGTGATGACAATGTCGGATTCCATTCCTGCTGAATTCTGCAGAATCTGTGGCAGAAACTCTGAGAAATGTTCAGAGAAATATTTACAAGGTTAAACAATATGAGCCAATGTTTCTGAACATATCTGATACACAGATACTCAAAGACTACAGTAATATTTAGGATTTTATTGACATTTACAAAATAATTTAAATAATACTTTACAATTTACCATGCAAAAGCTGAATCCTTCAGAAATCTGAATTAGTTGATAGATTATTATTATTTTTTTGTGAAAGCATGTTCAATATTTGAATTAGTCATAGATCTAAATACAGTTGAAGTCAAACTTATTAGCCCCCCTGAATAATTAGCCCCCTGTTTATTTTTTCCCCAATTTCTGTTTAACGGAGATAAGATTGTTTTCAACACATTTCTAAACATAATAGTTTTAATAACTCATTTCTATTAACTGATTTATTTTATCTTTGCCTTGATGACAGTAAATAATACTCATGCATATATTCATATGTTTTACACAGCGGATGTCCTTCCAGCTGCAACCCAGCATTGAGAAACATTCATACACACTCATTCACATACATACACTATGGACAATCTAGTCTAGCCAATTCACCTATACCACATGACTTTGGACTTGTGGGGAAAACCGGACCAGCTGGAGGAAACCCAAACGAACACGGGGAGAACGTGCTAACTCCACATAGAAATGCCAACTGACCCAGCCGAGGCTCGAACCAGCGACTTTCTTGCTGTGAGGCAAATGTGCAACCCACTGTGCCACCGTGCATCCAGTAAAAAATATTTTACTAGATAATTTTCAAGACACTTCTATATACCTTAAAGTGACATTTAAAGACTAGGTTAAGTAGTAGGCAGGTTAGGGTAATTAGGCAAGTTATTGTATAATGATGGTTTTCAGTAGACTATTGAAAAAACATATAGCTTAAAGGGACTAATATTTTTGACCATAAAATAATAAAAAAAAAAATTTAAAACTGCTTCTATTCTAGCCGAAATAAAACAATTAAGACTTTCTTCAGAATAAAAAATATTATCAGACATACTGTGAAAATTTCCTTGCTCTGTTAAACATAATTTGGGAAATATTTAAAAAAGGAAATAAAACTCAACTTCAACTATGTAAAAAATAGATCTCTAGGTAACTTTTGATACATTTGCTAAATACAATGTATTTCTTTAAAACAACTGGTAAAACTTTTTATGAAGCCACCTCATAAATATTAATAACAACAGTATGTTGAAAAAAGTATTATTTATGCATCATGATGGATGAATAATGCATAAATGCATAAAAACTTGTTTATATTGTATATTTAAATGTATCCTTGCTTATTTTCAGATCAAGAATAAAAAACAAAGAATAAATTGTACATAAATAAAAATAACAATTAGATGTGCTTTTATTATAACTTCTAAATACAACTTTAAAAGTATTTTAAAATGAGATTGAACTCTTATTTTTTTTTTTGTTACAGATAAAAATTACAAAGTAATGATTAAAATAATTAGCATTATGACTTACCTCATGAGAAATGTCTTATAACCACTTCATGATATCGTATGGCTGGAAACATCTTTGTTACTTTACTAAAAGCTGACAACTATCACTCATAAATATTGCACATAACACTTCAGAACAGAGAGCACATATTCATTATTAACTATGACATTTCCTTCAATAAACTGCAAACGCACTGCTTTATTTCATTATTAAAAGTTAATGATTACGTAGTTGCACTCTAGCATGCAGATAAGTTAAGCAACGAGTTAAATGACATAGAATATGTTCATGCAGCAAAAACATTACAATAATATGAATAAACCACAAATATCTAAGCTAACAATTACTTAAGATTTTTTCAAATACTCAATTGCTATCTATCAAGAACACATAATAAAGCTTTTTATATGTTTATAAGACAACTTTGCTTTTGTCACTTTAAGAAGTAAAAAGGTGTTTGAGATAAAAAAAAAAAAGATATTAAACTGTAGGAAATATTATACAAATCCATTTCATCTTGCATAAAAATACGCATTCATTCATTTTCTTTCAGCTTAGTCTCTATTTCAGTGGAATGTACCACCAACTATTCTAGCACGCTTTATTTGTTTTAAGCTGCAGATGCCCTTCCAGCTGCAACCACGTACTGGGAAACACTCTTACACCGCGGACAATTTATTTTACTCAATTCACCTAGTGTATGTCTTTGGACTGTGAGGGAAACCGGAGCACCTGGAGTAAACACACACGAATATGGGGAGAACATGCAAACCCCACACAGAAATGCCAACTGGCGCAGCTGGGACATGAACCAGCGACCTTCTTGCTGCAAGGCAACAGTGCTAACCACTGAGCCACCATGACGCTGCATCAAATTTTGCTTAGTATTTTTACTAGCGTTAAAATTATTCATAAGATGATCGAAACACTTTCCCAGTGAAGAGTTACGGCTGTAAGGACATTCGCTGTGTAAAACATATGCTGGATAAGTTGACGGTTCATTCTGCTGTGGCGACCCCAGATTGATTAAGGGATTAACCCGAAAAAAAATGAATGAATGAATGATCCAAACACATTATAATGTTGTTTATACAGCATTTTTGCAAGCATCTTGATACATTAAGGATAATGTTGCATTATTGCATTATAAATACAGGTTTCAAGTCTTACTGTGCCACAGGGGCGGATTTAGTGATTTGAGGGCCCTAAGCAAATTCAGCCATGAGGCCCAAAAGTTTTAAAATGCAACTTTTGTACTTTATTTTTGATATATTTTGCTGTTTCTTATATTACTCTATGTTCTTTTCTACATTTTACCTTAATGCAAAATAATAACATACAAAGCATTGGCATAACAGTGGCGCAGTGGGTAGCATGATCGCTTCACACCAAAATGGTCGGTTAGTTGGCATTTTTGTGTGGAGGTCGCATGTTCTCCCCATGTTGGAGTGGGTTTCCTCTGGGTGCTCTGGTTTCCAAAGACATGCACTATAGATTAATTGGGTAAGCTAAATTGTCTGTAGTGTATGTGTGTGAATGAATGTGTATGGATGTTTCCCAGAGCTGGGTTGCAGCTAGAAGGGCATCCGCTGCGAAAAAAAAATATATGCTGGTTATTTTTTGCGGTTCATTCCGCTGTGGTGACCCCAAATGAATAAAGGGACTAAGCTAAAAAGAAAATGAATGAATAAATAGCATCTTGTAACATCTTGTAAAACTTTTGAAATGATTTGTTTTCTTAAAATGAATTCACAACTAAAAGTAATAAATTAACTATTTCCTTTTTTAAACCAAACCTTTACTGATTTGACTGCTGGATTGGAACAAGATTGAGGGTGGTGGACACAAATGAAAATTTTTAGACCCTTGCCATACAAAATATGACAAAAAATTATGTTTTATAGGTAAATTAGTTTCATAAACAATATAGTTTATAGGTATAATTTATAATTCTAGGTATTTATTCAGGGGCCATCAGATTTCCTGAGGCCCTGAGTTACCTCGCTTATTGGTTAAATCCGCCCCTGCTGTGTCAGGGAAACTTCAAACAATCATTTGTTTTACAGAAATTTCCATTCAGTGACACCCAAAACTTCCACACCTCAGCTTTAAAGTTCACCTTCAAAAGAAAACCTCTATTTCCCCTGCATAATATAACAACCTTGAAAGCATCAATCTAAGTTTTGAAATGCAAGCACTTTAAACCTCCCAATTAAGCCCTCGATTATAATGCAGCATGTGCAAAGTACTGTTAAATACCCTTTCACACTGCTCTGTGCAAAATCCACCTCCTTCTCACCGCATATATATACATTAAACGTGTGAATCAAACAGAATCAAATTCAGTGGCACCCTGGAGTTTCATCTGCTATAAGTCAACAGGCAAATCCTCTGCGAATAAAGCGGGTGATCCACGCATATCTTGCAAGTCTTACAGAGGCAGCGTGACTCTCGACAAGACACATTCGGCATAGTCTCACACTGTTTTCTTTTCTTTTTTGGAAAGGCTTACCTGGTATAAAGCTCCCCTGGACAACATCTTTGTATGCCCACCAACCATCGTGCAGCTTTGATGACACTGGCTGTGCTGCGGAAAGAGAAGAGATTCACACATCACTCACCCACGGCTCTTTGAAAATACAGTCACACCTGTAATAGACCCCAGCTCCCCGCGGAGACAACTTTCTGCTGTCAAATGAGTGCATGAAGCTGTCTCTAATGCTTCAAGGCGCATTTTTTTTTTAAATATATAAATATATCGGAGCATGCAAATTGAAAAAGTCAACATTTCCCTAACGCGCCGCTTAATTGCGTGCAAATAAAAAAATATATATGCATTTGTGTGTGTTATGACGACAGATGCATCCTGGATCTGTGCTCTGGGCCCTGTCGGCGGAGCTGAAAGTAGGTCACAGAGGCAGCAGACTCCAGCATTCAGAATTCACTCTGTTATCTCACATCACTATTCCCCTCACCTCTCTCCCTCTGGCTTCGGGCTGCGGCTTGCATCATATCCACTGCCAAGTCAAGCACTCAGGGCTGCTCTTTAATACACCACACCACGGCTCTACTCTCAAGCCAGGTCGCTTTGATGTGCCCGTCATGAGCGGGGTGGAGGATTGCAGCCCAATTTGCTTTCACCCCAATTTATCGACATCTGTATCTGAGATATGAGAAAGCTGGCACTCTTATATGAGTCGCTGCAGTATCTCTGAGCATCGAGAGGCATGGATTTGCAGTAAGCGCAGGTGCTGAGATTCATACGGCGAGAGATTCAGGAAATGCTGACACTCGAATGGAGTCCCGCTACCAATATATCCTCTCTGTTGTGCGAGGCTCCCTGCGTGCACTGTGGGATATCGAACGGAACATAAAAAGCCGCTTATTTTACTTTTATACCACAAGTTTTTGACACGCTTGAGTCACTTTGATATTATTGGTCGGAATGAGGAAACTAAACCTGGTTTTAACCAGGTGGTTTGAGAGTTTTTATTTCTTTTATCTCACAGATGTCGTCCTTACTCAGGGTTCCTACTCAAGGCCAAACGTCACGTTTCCTGACTTTTCCTTGACTAAAAGGCTGAATTTTTATGACCTATAATGATCAGAAAAACAGCCACAGGCAGTATTAAAACAGCCTGGTTGCCAGTGGTGTAAAAAAACTAATTACAAATATTCAAACTACTGTTATTGAGTAGTATTTCTCAGAAATGTTACTGAGTAGTTTTATAAATGTGTACTTTTACTTTCCCTTGAATACATTTTTACTGCAGTATCGGTACTTTTATACACATAGAAGGTAAATCGCATCATGATGAACTACCTCAAGAAATGGGCGATTTACAATTGCAGCAAACTATTTGGAAGCATTTAAAGTGTCCAAGAAGATGCCCAAAATCTTTACACACAATGACCCAGAGGCTGTTTAGATGCATGTCACTGATGAGAAGATGACGGATGTTTAATGTATGATGACCAAAATGGCCTTAAGCAACCAGCAGGCACAAGACATTACATGACGTCAGATTGACTTTATACCCCAATGTTGTGGGGACGTGACATTTTTGTTTGGAAATGACAGTCGGGTTGACGTCAGAACTCAACATCAGGCCTATGTCAATGTCTAACCAAATATGAACGTCTAATGATGTTACAGCTTGACGTTGTGTGGACGTTACCACTATGACGTCTATCAGAAGTCGGATTTTGGCCAACCCTGATAAATAAATGTCAGTATTTGACAGTTGGTTTAAGATGTTGACTCGATGTTGGATTTTGATCACTTTCTAACAACCTAAAATCAACCTAAAATAAACCAAATGTCAACGTCATTTTTCGTCGTTATTGAACATCAAAATAACGTCCTTAAACGTTGGCTGATTTTGGTCACCTGACATCACAGCCTATTTTTACTTTAATAATAACATCTTTTGACGTTGTGTGCCTGCTCGGCAATAACTAAATGCACTACAGAATGTTACGTTTACACACATCCACAAATTACATGTAAACACATCATCTTTTCAAAGTATAATACTGATTACTCACTACTCTGGAGTACTTTTAAAAGGTCTTTTTACTCATACTTTGAGTAATATTTATAACAGATACCCATTACTCTACTTGCACTACATTTTTGGGCAAGTAATGGTACTTTTACCTAAGTATGATTTTTCAGTACTCTTTCCATCCTGCTGGTCACAATATCTTACTTCAGTGAGAGAAATAAAATGGCATTGAATTAAACCCTGTAACTGCCACACCAAGAATATAATTTTGGATTGCATTTTTTAACCCCTAATGTCGCTAGTGCACACTCAATGCATCCCAATTTTTTTAAATATCAGTCTCTACCAAATGGTTGATATGTCGGTTAATGGTAAAAGTACCAGAATTAATACATATACTATAAAAATCTGAAACTATAAAGTGTAAGACCTATTTACTTAAAACATAATCAAGATAAAACATTTTTGATTACAAAATTAGCTTTATTTTTTGAAGTATGCCATCAAATATTTCAGTTTCTCATTTAATATGTTTTCTTTTCTACCATAAAACCAAAATTAAGAGTAGTAGTGCAACAGGATTATGTTTGTTTGATTGTTTTTTAAACTAACAATGCTGTGTGTGTAAACCATTATTTAAAACAGTCATTATTTAAATGACTTTAACAGTCATTATTTAAACCAATCAAAACATGGTCAACCATTTTGTAGAGCAGGTACGGTATTAAAATTACATTTGGATAGATGGAAAGTTCAATTTCAAACGATAAACATAAATCACTGATATTCCATGTCTTTGATCAGAATAATAATATTTTTTAAAAAATGCAATGACCTGTTCAAACAAATGAGGGCTTTTCTGTATATAACCTTCATGCACATAGAGCCCACTCTTTGAAGATCTAACTTGTTTTTGTCTTTTATAGATGCCCATCCCCTAGAGGAAGGATGACGTCAAAACCAGGACTGCCAAAACAAACTGGAAACTTCAATGGAGTTGAAAAACCTCGCAGACTCTAGATGAGCTTTACTCTGAGGCTCATGACTCACTGACAACTTCTCTGCATCGATTTTTCATACTCTCCTCTAGCATTTGGTTGTTGTGTTTATAGTGTCGCTGTTTTATTTTTCCAATCGATGAAAAGCAGTTTATTGTCTGAAATTACTATACAATGTTTGTACTCATTAGAAACAGATCAGGTTTGAGGAAAAAAATGGCCAAAGATGAAAAGGACTGTGAATTCTGATGAAACAAAAGCTGTCGAAACTAGCCGTAAGCCCACTAGATGCACAATACTAAGCTTCATTCTCGTCTGATGTCTGCATTTTTCTCTTCAAAAGTTAGAAGGATATAGTGTTTTTATACTTATTCAAAATTTAATTGATATCTTTTAATCGAAAGTTCTTCAATGCAGGAGTGCAAAGATTTGTATGTCTTCAGGTAGCTTCACTCCATGTTGTAATTACAAGATTCTACCTTCATTATCAAACTTATAATTACACCTTGTGAACTGGGAATTTATTTATATTTAGACTTTGATAATGTTGCCATAAAATGTACAATTAAGCATCTGAGAACATGAGCATCTCCGAGCATCCAACATTATTTACTGTCATCTTGAAATTCAGTAATGACATGATGAATGCAGTATTGAGTAGTTTATTGTTTATATATTTATTTTGTATATTGAATTTTTATGTTTTAATTTTTTTTTCTTTTCTGACTGTAAAACAGCTGTGCAGTTTAGTGATCACAACTAGCAAAATTAATAGTTCAAATTAATTCAACTTGCATATGCATGCTCTTAGTACTTTGTATGTGCATGTGTTCATTAAAATCGGGCAGTATTCACAGGCTCTGATGACTTGTACTGACTATTTTAAATGTGAATAAAAGCATACTTTGGGCTTTAGATAGTTTGATGTTTTTTTTTCTGATATATTGACTTGTTTTAAAAGAGTTCATGCATGTTTTAGTCAGATGGGTTTGTAGGGTTGCACAGAGTATACTATGGCAAGCCGTTTTAACTTTTATTCATTCTCAGGGTATGTATTCTTGATATCAACAATTCAATTATTGATATCAAAAAGGTTTATTGTTGATATAAAATTACATTTCAAAAAGTAGCAATATTAATTTCATAATAAACCTTTATTTTGCTGGAGCATTTTTTTTTCATCATTGTTTTTTATAATTAGCATATTTTATTTTCATTATTAAACAGATGTAATTCCTCTATGAATTGTATCATTTCTGCTTCCCAAGTTTTGCAATAATCTGATTCATAATAAATAATGATCTTGTTCATTTATGCTCAAAGGACTTTTTTGCTGAAATTAAACTACTTCATTTTAAATTGAAATTACTTCCTTTCACACTGAGAACTCATGCATATACACATATTAGATCACTTGAATTTATGTACAGTTGAAGTAAGAATTCATTAGCCCCCCTGAATTATTAGACCCCGTACATTTTTTCCCCAATTTCTGTTTAACGGAGAGATTTTTCCAACACATTTCTAAACATAATAGTTTTAATAGCTCATTTCTAATAACCGATTTAGGTTATCTTTGCCATGTTGACAGTAAATAATATTTGACTAGATATTTTTCAAGACACTTCTATACAGCTTAAAGTGACATTTAAAGGCTTAACTAGGTTAATTAGGTTAACTAGGCAGGTTAGGGTAATTAGGCAAGTTAATGTATAATGATGGTTTGTTCTGTAGACTATTGAAATAATAAATTAGCTTAAAGGGGCTAATAATTTTGTCCTTAAAATGGTGTTTAAAAATTAATCATTGCTTTTATTCTAGCCAAAGTAAATGATTTGTTGATAAAATGAAATTGTTGATATCAGTATTTATATATATATATATATATATATATATATTAAGAACTGAACTGTTGATATCAAGAATACATATCCTGAAAAAGTCCTAATGAATTGCCATAGTACCGCAGGGGTGCCCAATCTTGTTCCCGGAGATCTACCTTCCTGCAGAGTTCAGCTGAAACCTTGATCAAACACACCTGTCTGTAATTACCAAGTGCACCTTCAGATCTGACTTAGTTGGTTTAGTCGTGTTTGATCAGGCTTGGAGATGAAATCTGCAGGAAGGTAGATCTCCAGGAACAGGATTTGGCACCCCTGGTTTACTAGTACTACAGCAGTGCTGCCATACTGGACCTTCAAAATACTTGTAGATCTGAAAAGATTGTATCATTAACACGGTAGTATGTGTGTGTCCGTATGTCTGCACATTACAAGACATTAAACATAAGAGCCTTTCTGGGTTACTTATGGAGTAAATGCTGTGTAGAATTCACATCTTACTTGTTATTATGTGCTTTGCGATAAATACACATGGAATTCCAGATGATTTGACAATGAAAAGTTATGTAATTTTAAAAAATGGGTGCAAAAATGCTCTTTTACTTTTTTAATTTTATAACATTTTATTTTAGTAGTATGATGTGAGCATGAGCACCGTAAAAAAAAATCATTGGATTTTAGTAAGGGGTTGCAAACAATTTATATGGGCTAAATCTAAACAAACAAATTAAGTTGAACATTACCAAATTAAAATTGTTAGTTTAAATTCAGCCAGTAGAAATTGTTTGCAACCCCTTACTTGAAAAATAGTAAATCCAGTGAATATTTTTATTTCAGTGAATGCTATTTTTATTTGCAAAAATATCACATTTGTAAATGCAAATGATTTCATACAATTTGATAAGCAAAAAACAAAACAAAAAAAAAACATATAGCCTATTTATATATATATATATATATTTTTTTTTTTTAACATTGATGGAGTAGACATTTTAAAAAGAAATAAGTAGAACCATTTCTCGAGGCAAAACAAGGCTATTTTCTCTCAGAATGAATGATTGTTTTTGAACGAATCAGGCAAGACAATGATTCAATGCCACACCCAATAAAAAAACAAGACAAAAACACTCAATTACGTTGGTCCTGAATCCTGAATGAATCAGACATGTTAAATAAATCTTCAGAATAAATGATTCAGTGACTAAATCATTAAAGGCTATTTCCCTACAGATTTCGGCAGACAGCAAAATACAGTTTATTGAGTTTTGTTGGATCAGTGTTATGCCTTTATATGTCCCTATTTGTTATCGCCTGTTCTTGACTGAATATGCAGAAGAGGCAGTTTCTGGGTTGTAGGATGTCTGAGAAGTGATGTACTGTAATTTTGTGATTGTCTGTGAATTGTGAACCCTCACTGTGACTTCCTGCCACCTACAGGCTATTTTAAATTTTAGTTTTAATTTCACATTTAATAGCATACATATTAATCTATAATCTATATTTAAAATATACACATTTACATTATGATAATACCACAACATAATTTATGCAATTGTGACTGCACTATAAACATAATACCCCCTGATCAGCGTTAATCTGTGATTTAAATGTCACTTTAGATTCAGTTTATGTGCTTAGATAAATTTACTTTGCACAGATTTCATTCAACTGGTAACAACATTCTCAATAATACATTGTTCAGATGAAATATAGTCTGTCTCATAAATATCTATGTGTAGATGTATATAATACCACTTAGTATCATATCTTAGGTTGTATAACATAAGATATATATTTATGGCACTGTGACAGCAACACTATTAGGTTGGTTGATCACCTGGACTGCCAGCTATCTAACCAGCCTGGCCCAGACTGGGAACCCAAAAATCAGCAAACTGTCTTAATCTGGTTTAAATCAATATTATTTTAATCCCTGGCCATTCTTTTCTTACAAATGACGTTTTTGAAAGGAACAGGAGAAAACAACATAGCCATGCAGAACATGAAATTTATGGGAAGCAATTTCTTGACTCCAAATCCCTGATGTTCAATTTAAAATCGTTTCATTTTTTTCAAATGACCACCCTGCAGGGGGAAAAGAGAAAACACCAGCCTAAACTAGCTGTCTGGTCCTATCTGGTTTCACAGCTGGTTCTGTAGACATGGTTTTAGATGGGTTCTGGGCACTTTTCAGATTTGCCAGAGAAGCAAAAGGCAATCTTGTTCAGGGTGAAAACCATTTTAAAGCATCCGACTTAAAACTGCTAAAACGAGCAAACCATTTTAGTCATGCTTCAAATCGTGCTTATTCTCCACAGGGCAGTCCGCAAACAATCACTTAAAAATCACTTCAGCATGAGCAGCACTGCGTTATCAGCAAAAGAATAGAATGAAATACTTAATAAAATAATCATACAGCTTTAAATACATCTGCATTGCCAGCATTATAAAAAAATGACGTTGTAATACCAACATATAGAATATGTAATCAGTTAAACATCCAAAGCGTCCTGAGAGTGAGTTTTCATATTGCGAGCTCAGTTTACCTTCCACAAAGATGACATTAATGTTGAGAATCAGAACGAACTCCCAAACGTGCGGCATTCTTCATTTAGTCCATCAGGTAATTAACTTGATAACACTTGGTCAAAGTCTGAAGCGTCATTCCCCGCGAGCGTCGCCGACACGCGCGCTCTCGTCATTCTCAAATATGATGAACATCGTCCTCTCCGAAAAGACGCGACCCGCCGCGTAGATTCACTCGCAAAATGTACCGCACGGACAACCACTTGCCAGTTCACAGCGTGGAAACTTCCAAGTCCTGACCTCAAGCGTACGAGAGCGAGCCAGTGTGTTTATTTGTCGTTGTTTGTGCTGTTGGCTGAGTCGTGGACGGTGTTTGCGGCGTTACCTGACAGTGCGCGCGGATCTGAGGTTTAGCGCGGTCTAATCCTTCTGCAGGCGGGGCTCGCGCTCCCGTGACGCTCGCTGGAGAATGCGGTTAGTTTTGACATCTATTCAAACTCTAATGCAATTACTTTCCTGCTGGTGCGAGGCTTTACAGGATTAGAAATCATCACATTCCTGTTCATTACTTGCCAAATTAGTAACACGAGTGCGCATTAAGGACAAAACTCCCAATCGTCGCCTTTCACTTTATTTATTTATTTACTTGAGAGCTAATTAATGCACACGCTTCGATAAACAGCCTTTAGCTGCGCACAGGTCTGTTGACACATCACTTTTTTTAACAAATGAACGTTTAAGTTAGACATGTAAACGACATTCACTTAATTTATAAAACATTTTAAATACAAAAATAAATCACCTTAGAAAACACATACACACAATCATGACATCAACAACAATTGGACACTTTCAGACAAATGTGATCACATTTATATAATACATAGCCTACCAATAATTTCTAAAACTCGAAACAATATAGGCTATCAATAATCAGGACATGGAAATACACATATACTGTACACGCCACACATCAATCAAACACTACAGCACCTCCAAAGGGAGATACTAAACGGGCTGAATTTGAGATTAGGTCTTGTCCCAATTGCATAGGCGAGGAGTTTTTGTGTGCGTGTGTCTGTCTACTGTCCTGCTTTCAACGATTCACATTCTGTAGATGTTAGAATTTATTTTAAATCTTTGACTGTTTCTTATATATAACCTGATGCAAGATAAAAATATATCAAGCAAGAACCGAATAAGATGGATGAAGTAGTGAGTCATGACTGGGCAATAGTTTTTTTGGTATCGGAACGTTTGCATAAAATAAAATCAGTGCTACAGTATTTTCAGTGAGGGTACACAACATACAAAAATCCTCTCACAGATAAATGTGGAGGCATAAAAAGAAATACAACAGCTCAACAATAAGTATGGCCCACAAGAAATGTAGATAACTACATCTACTTCTACAACAACTAAAATAAATTGCACTCACATGTCTTGTACATACAGTGCTTAGCAAAATTGTGTACAGGCCATTTTGAAATAGAATATTTTCGTGAATACAGGCAATGTTTTTTGGTGCATTTAAACTAAACAGATTTATTAAATAAATATATTTATTAAAATAATATTTTAGTCACCAAACATATTTAGAAATTAAAAGATAATTCAATTAAAAATAAGTAAAATATTGCAAAAGAAATTACAACCTACATAATTTCAACTCAATTTTTCACTTTTTTTTTTTTTTGCTTCTCTTGATTTTCCCCCCTTTAAAAAAAGTATTTATTATTTTTCTCTAACATAAATTTGGGTGTACTAGTTTTTGGACTTGTCATAAGTTATTTTGTTAGGTAAGCTCCAGATTTGGCTTTAGTACTGACTAATCTAATGTTTATGCACAAATATAATATTGTATAGCGTCCTATTAAATATGAATTTTAAAGATTGCGTAGTGTACTTGCTGAGCACTGTGCACATTTCTATGATTGGTTCAAGTCTTAGGTTTTCCATGATAAAAATAATAAAAATGTAATTGCAACTTTTTCAACTCACGATTCTGACTGATTCGATCTCTTTTCCAATTAAAAATTTCTGTCAACTCTTTTGTTTTTCTGTAGGTATGAAGAAATATAAATTGTAATATTAAAAAATCTAAATCTGATACAAAAGTCAGAATTACAGTATGAAGTACAGGCAAAATTATCTTATTGCAATTAAAAAGGTAATTCTGACTTTTTCTAACAATTCTGAGGTCATATCTTGCAATTCATTTCATGTATTTAAACAATTTCTAGAAAAAATATACATTTATTTTAAAAATGAGTTTAAAACTTAAATCATATAATATGATTAAAAAATCAGGATGTGAAATGAAACTCAGCTCCAAGAAGAACTTAAACTGTGAAATATAAACTTACAACTGAGAAAGAAGTGAGGATTGCAAAATATTACCTCATAATTTAAAAACATAAAAGTTTAGAACTTTTTGGTTGTTGAAATTTTGAAGTAAAATAAAAAATGCAGTTCAAAGAAGTGAAGCCTGAATCACGACAAGCTATATAATCTCACAATGGGGTATATGCAAACAGACTTTAAATTTTCAGTCGGCCAGCCCAATCGTGAACTGTTGCACCATTACAAAATCACCAGGTTTAAGATCTGATTTCTTTAAAAATCCGTCATCTTCACTGCTTGATAGAGATACAATATAGGAATCTGACCAGACAAGAAGCACTGCATTAAATTCCAGTTTTCCATGCCATGTCTTTAAAATAAGGACATTTATTTTACCCTAATATTTTCAATGGAGTTTATGTGCTAGCCTGCTGCTACTGACAGCATTGGATAAACAACGTCTTAGCAGAGTTTGCTAGAACAACTAAATGAATGCTTAAATCTATTTAACTGATTGTATTTAAGTACATTACAACATTGATGCAGTAAAAGGAACATTATGAATTTTAAAAACTTTTACCAGAGGTTTATCGTTGGCTGAAAAACACTAGCTGTGCATATAGTCCATTAAGAGAAAAAAAAAGTTCAAATTGTGCTATACAAAGTTAGAATTACCTTTTTATTTTTTTCTTATCCCATGGTGTAAACAAGCTTTGATAAGACAAGTGAGAATGTTGGTAAAGCAAGGAAAAAACCTACTGAGCCAGCAGTAAAAAAATCCTCATTGTTGAGCCCTGCAGCAGACATAACACATGCATTCCATTAATAAAACACTATCAAAATAATCATCAAAACAATATGTTTTCTCCTCCAATAATTTCTTGTCCCACATTTTTAAATGAGCATGTCCAATTTCATCTGATATCCAAATGAAGTTCCAATCAAATCAAGTAGATCTGCGTTTATTCAGACACAGACGGCTTTATAGTCCATTCCACCGCCTAAGCGAGACAGTTTGCGAGTGCTTTTTTTTTTCATCAGTAGTACTGCTTCTTTTCTGTCCAGCTCGTGATCCAGTGTTTTCTGTTGTTCGTGGTGTCCAGAATCAAAAAGCCCTGGTTTACCTGGTATTGTTCCTTCTTACAAATCCTCACGCCTTTGTATTTTGGCATAGCTCGAAAGTAGTCGATCCTTGTAAAAAAGCCACTCTGCGAGAAGGAAAAAACCCATAAGTAGGCACGTTCAGAAAGAGACATCCGACCACATTTTCATAACAGGTTGATTACAGTAAGAATGTGAGCAGCATGTATTCATAGCAGCTTTAAGTAATCGGAGAGCATCGACGGAATTCATTTCATGAGATTATGAAGCATTCTTTAAACATTAGCGAAATTATAAAGAGAGCAAATTATTAAGAGGGAGCGTGTAAGAATGCGTGAGGAACTCAACAGGAGATTGTGCAGGGGAGAAGAAAGCTTGTTATCTCTGTAAGAGAAGATGTGATCAGAAGGAGTTTTGTTGCCTCGGTTGAAAGCAAGCTCTCAAACGGCAGGAAAGCAAAGAACACGGTAACGCAGAAGGAAGTTATTAGCCTTGTCAAAGCCAGAAAAGGCATTCAGAAGTTGTATTAGAGCAATATACAGTTGATGTTTTAAGACATCGTTCTATCTCCAAGATAACAGCATCGCAAGCCTGAGGATAAAACAAAGAGCCTCACATATCAATTTGTTTCAGGAAAAAAACACCCTTTGGTGTTTTTGAGAGCAATGATGAGAGTGGAAAACAGACGAGGCAAGAGCTGTGTCTCAAAAGGGAAGAGGAAAGACAGTATTAGTGGAGCTTGCGTGGAATACATTATTGTTAATTAAGCCAAGCTGGGTTTTAGCTGGAGCGCTGTGGCACCTACGAACTTGCTATTTGTGTGTCAGAGGCCCGCAAAGGCCAGAATCTCAGTCCTCCTCTGTAAGGCGATCGTTTTCTGATGGCTGTGTTTTCATTTCTGCTTTCTGGGCCTTGGCCTCATAAAGCTCTCTGGTGTTGGCCCTCTTGAAGAAACCACACTGGGGAACAGGATTCAGATATGAGCAGGCAAACAAAACACAAGGAAAGGCTAGAGAAACTGATCTACAGTCAGAAGCTCCTCTGCTTCAAGTGTCTGGGGTGTTTAAAATCACATTTTAAATATGTCCATAGATCAAGTGCATGAAAAAACAAAACACAAATAGAAGGAATGTAATTTGACTGCAATAAATGTGTACTGAGAAGTCAAAAATATAATTTATGCTGAAGTTTTGGAAGGAAATACACAAACTTATTGCGAAATCTTAGTATTTTTTGCATCATGTCAAACATGATAGAAACTGGACTGCAAAACTAGTTTGATATTGCACTGGTATATTTGTGGGAATAGCCAAAACATACTGTATGGGTCAAAATTATTGATTTTTTTTTTTTCAGAATATTATGCAAAGATCATCTTCCATGAGGAAATTTAGCACATTTTCTTCTGTAAAAATCTATCAAAATTGTTTTTTTTGTTTTTTTTGTAATATGCATTGCTAAGAATGGAATATGAACAACATTAAAGGTGATTTTGTCAATATTTAATTTTTAACCCTCAGATTCCAGATTTTTCAAATTGTTTAGTCCAAATAGTGTTCTAACCCAACAAACCATCAATGGAAAACTTATTCATTCATTCAGCTTTAAGATGTGTAAATCTCAATTTCCAAAAATGTTACTCTTATTACTGGTTTTGTATATATATTGCTCAGTATATATAAGTACACCCCTCACAAATCTCTCTTTTAAATTAATATTTTTAATAGGAAGCTATACAATATTATATTTGTGCATAGACATTAGATTAGTCAGTACTCAAGCCAAACCTGGAGCTTATCTAACTTACAATAACGGTCCAAAAACTAGTTCACCCAAATTTAAATGTTATAGAAAAATATTAAATAAAAATTTTAACAAAGAGGAAAAATCAAGATATATAATATATATATTTTTTTTTTTTGCTAAATTTTAATTGAATTTAATTAAAAATATCTTTAAATTTCTAAATATGTTTGGTGACTATAATATTATTTCAATAAATATGTTTAATAAATCTGTTTTGTTTAAAAGCACCAAAATACATTGCTTATATTCACTGAGAAACGGATGAAAATATTCATTTTCAAAATGAGGTGTACTCAATTATGCTGAGCACTGTTTATAGTTTCCATAATTTTGGTCAGATTTGCACACAAAATGTGTAATTAATTTTGTGCTTACAGCTTTATTTTAGTGTTATATCCTCTCAGGTTTGTTCAAACTTTTAAGTTGTGATTCTTTTGTCTAGACTTTTCATCTTTCGTAGACTCATGTCGATTCTTGGCGCTTCTTATTTCTGTGTTATTCCTAATTTTGAGATCAGTTTCTCGTGTGAAGTTCATTTTACTGAATCAGATAACTATTGTTCTACATCTAAAGTTATTATTACTGAATGCACCTGAACAAATGCACATAATATATGATTCAATATTCAGCACTTTCATAAACTGCCATACAGCGAAAAAAAAACATTCGTTATTAGTCATTTTAGAAATGGATTTAAGTAATCGTGTTGAAATTTATGCAAAAAAAAACATCAGCATCTTTCACTGACCACACTCGAAAACATAATTACAAATGCTTATTTTATAAACTTCCTAGGATGACTTGAACACATGAATAAATGCAGTGCTCAGCATATGCTAGTACACCCCTCACAAATCTTTCTTTTAAATTCATATTTTTAATAGGAAACTAGACAATATTATATTTGTGCATATACATTAAATTAATCAGCACTAAAGACAAATCTGGAGCTAATCTAACAATAAAAAAATTATATGTTTTTAAAAAAATATTAAATACAAATTTTATAAAAGAGGAAAAATCAAGAGAAGCAAAAAAAAATGGAAAAATTTAGTTGAAATTTTGTTGGTTGTATTTTTTTCAACATTTTGCTTAAATTTAATTGTATTATCTTTCCATTTCTAAATATGTTTGGTGATTAAAATATTATTTTAATAAATATATCTATTTACTAAATCTGTTTTGTTTAAATGCACCAAATTACATTGCCTATATTCACTGAGTAATGGATACAGATATTAATTTTCAAAGTGGAGTGTGCTCAATTATGCTAAGCACTGTATACATACACAGGAATGTATAACAAGGGATAACAAGGAAACTAAGAACAGTTAGTGTTGACTTTTCATTTTCATTGAACCTGAAAATTGTCCTTTAATAAAAATCTGACATGTTTGGTCAATAACATCACTCTGAAACTCAGGGCTTAATGAAAATCTTGAGATTCCCTCTGATAATTATGATTTTGTGGTGACGTTTAAATGCGCCCAACTCACAAATGTGTTTTTTTCTGACAAGATTTTTATCCTTCCACATTGCAAACTCGCACACAAATATCCTGATAATTTTCTGCCAGGGTATTATTCATTCATTTCTTTCAGACTCTGTGCTGTTCAAAATAAAGTTTACATTTGTACAGACACATCTCTACAATGCAGGAAAAGTCCTTCATATTAATACAGCGCATTGTGATATGGTTTGACAGATTGTTTTTTAGAATATGGATATCCAGTGTGATATTTCTTCCTTCCTGAATGTTGGTTTGTGTGTATAAATCCTGTTCACTTTCTATACGTTTATTTGCTATTGTGAAAGCCCAGTAAATGAACAGAGGAAGTCAGAACTCAGTTCAATGTGGGTTCCTTTGGGTTTATATAATGAGGTTTTTCAGTTCACGAGTAAAATGTGGTAATTACGCACTCCTTGCACTCCTAAAATTACTATAAACATACATTTTCTAAAATACACATAACAGCTTCAATATATATATATATATATATATATATATATATATATATATATATATATATATATATATATATATATATATATTTATACAACAGTTCTGTCTGGTTCTCAAATCTGATTGGCTGATAGCTGTGCGATATTTTGCAATATCAGCACTCGTACATCCTCCTCACCCTTCTGTATAACTCTGCCCACATAGAGTGAAAGCAGATCAATAAACTCACTACAGTTTGACAGATATTGCAGCTGTTGGACAACACAATGCACTTTTGAGGCTGTTTTAGGCGAGAAAGTAGTTATTTTGATTGCATACATGGAGCTTATTTATAAGAATAAAAAATATCAAAAATGACTTTTTGATTACTTTTGATATTTGAAAAGATCACAGTAATTTCAAACTACAGCTGATTAAAACATTATTAAGCCGACATGTGACTTTTTGTGTCGACCTCTCTCTTTTTTTAGTTGCTGTGCTTCAGTTATACCATAGTAATTGTAGTGTATTGAGTGTGAGATGGGACTCACATATCAAAAATGTTTGTATTTTGTGTTGGCCACTCTTTGTATAACCTTGAGTAACTTTTTGGTTGGCCATTTGTTTGTTTCTAATGAAACTACTGTTCTCGTTACTGCAGACTAGTTCAGTAAAAAAAGAAAAAAGAAATGCCTCCATGTGTTTAGCATTTATATAATCACAAACACAACAGTAATCTGGTAGTGTTTGCTTTGCTTTGGCTTGTCCGGGTTAATTATTGTGATATCCAAATTGCAACAGAGAAATATTGGGAAATCTCTGTAGACTGATGGTATTTCATGCCGTTCAGCCTCATAATCTTAAAATCTAAAGTTATGCATTGTCAATCTCATTGTCATGAATTAATTCTTTTTATCAATGTGGGCTACTATTTTAATAGTGTAGGCTAGTATGGTTAACTTAATATAAAAACCTCATGACTGTTAGGTTTATAGACATCAAAGTGCTATTCTGAATGCCTGACTGATGTCTCGCACAGAAGAAGAATTAAAATGTGTGGCAATATGTGTTGCTCTTCTCAAGGTGCAGTTAAAAACAAACTTCACACTTGTTTATGGCGTTAAAGCATAATGTGATAAACTGAATCTGTTGTTTATGCTATTCCATCCAGAATAGCATGCAGATGTGCGAACAAAAGATAAGTGTGCGGCACCGAAGCACAAAAGGATCCTCACCTTCCACAGAAGAATAACAATCACGCCCAGCATAACCACTCCTGACAGAACGGACACAATGATGATCCACAAAGGAGCTTCATACGGTAGTTCTTCAGCCACTGCGGGGTCTATTTCTACTGTAAACTAAACCCAGAAGAGATGTTTACTATCATTAATCTCTAACACGCCAGGAAATACATAAAGCAAAATTGCCTCATTTTAATAAATATTTGATTTTCCTCCAACTTATGCTAAATGCATGCAAGAACGAATCTTGGATGCAAGAGAAAACTCTGAGATTTGTACCTCACGGATGTTATTGTTCATCTTGATGTTTTTTTTGTCTGTTTTTAGAGTCAGCATGACACTGCCTTGCACACTCACTCCTTTAGCTCTGTAGTCCTGTAAAACAAAAGAGCAGCACAAATGTTATTTTAGACAATAAATGTTATTTACTGTAGTGTCCCAAGCACTGCACATCTGAGATGTGCTTCCTTTTAGACTAGCGATGGGTCATTTGTGGAAATTTGGTTCTTGGGGTCTATCTTATGAGCAATGAAAACAATCTGGGAAGCTGAACAAATGTTTTGTACCTCTTTTCATTTATCTTTGGCTTCACTATAATGACTTCCTAATCTGGAATAAGATCAAAGCTTGTGAATGTGATTGCGTACAGGGAATCTGGCTACTGAAAATAGAAAATTTTAACTCTACTACTTGAGTTCATTACTCGGTAAAGAAATCTAATTTTCCCACCCCTACAAGGAATACATTCCACCTGGGTAAAGGAGTAAATAAAATAAATTCTGATCCATGTTTCTGCACTGTAAAAAATACTGGGTTTCATACAATTATTTCGTAAACACAATCTGTTTAAGTTAACTGAATAGTTTTTACAAAATGTATTTGATTTAACATAAAACAATTAAGTTATCCCCAAAAATTAAGAATTGTGTTGTTTTAACTCATTTTAAGTTACTAGTTTGAACAAACAGTCAAAATCAGCTCTTAATCAATTACAACTAAAATAATAATAACAGTAATAATAATCCCTTACATTTATATTGCACTTTTCTGGACACTTAAAGCGCTTTACAATTTCTTGAGATGTTTGTGTTTGTGTTTGTGTGGATGGGGGGTCAACTCATCCACCACCAATGTGATGACGAAATAGCAGCCTTAATGCACAAGACCGCACACAACACACCAGCTGATTGGTGAAGAGGAGTGATTCAGCCAATTATGATATGGTTGGGAGGCCATGATGGACAAAGGCCAGTGGGCAAATTAAACCCCTACTCTTTTTTCAAGGGATGAATGACCACAGAAACTCAAGATGTCTCAGTTAGCAGTACAGAATCCCCATCAGTTTACTGGGGCATTAGGAACCACACAGACCATAGGTTAAGCGCCCCCTGCTGGTCTCACTAAGGCCACTTCCGGCAGCAACTTAGCTTTCCCATGTGGTCTCCCATCCAGGTACTGACCAGGCGCAGCCCTGCTTAGCGTAGCTTCAGTGGGCAACCATGTAAGAATTGCAGAGAGCTAGAAGCTAGATAATTATGCAATTTAACTTGAAATACTTCAATCCTGGAAGACTTTCTTTCAGCATGTTGTTGCTGTTAACATTTGTACATGCAATGCAGACATTGCCAATTTTGTTTAGACAGTTGAGCCACATTGACAAAAAATATAGGGGATACGATCAGAATGAATAAATCCACATTTGATCACATGATCGGAAATCAGGCCTGATCACATGGTTTCAGACTCGAATTGAATCGGACGTTACCTCCTGACCAGAACTCGAATATATATGTATCTACATATATATTCTCATTATTTTGAACAAATCTATATTTATGGTGGCACAGAGTTGCAGAGACACTTGGCTAAATGCCGGCAAAGTAGAACATGGAAGCAGCTTGAAGCAGAAAGTGCAAGTATGTCTGCGGTTTAGAGGTTTTATAAAGTTGATGATGACAACATTGCCATAGCAAACTCTAGGATATATAAACTTGGAATTGCCTGCCGGGTGTCTTAGGTTGAGGTGCTATTTGTTTTTATATTAGATTTTGTTTTATATTTACTGTTGCACTATATCCAAAAGTGAAGAATTGATGGTATTTATTACTAGATTGTTCAAGCTACCGCACAAAAGTGCTCTGTTTGATAACAAAATTGTTGAATGTTAAAATAAGGTGAAATAAATAAAAAAAAATAAGTAACATCTTGAATCTGTTTCTTCACTCTTTATTCTTTTTTTATGTATTATAGAAGTATCGGATCAGGTTTCGGTATCGGCAGATACTCAAAGTCAAATGACTCAGACTCGAGGGCAAAAAACCTGATCGGGACACCCCTACTAAAATATAGCATATATATATATACTCTGAGATATTTATATGGCTTAACAATACATTCCTATTCCCAGAAAAATAAATATACCAATTACTTGATTTTGCATATTTTAAAATGTATATATTATTATTTGTTAATCATTATTAGCAATAGTAATATAAACTCAAAAAGCCCCTGCAATTCTATAGTTTGAGAATTCTTGACCTAAAATAAATAAATTATATGTTGAAAAAAGACTTCGGTTTTTATTTTATTACAAAAGTCAACTCATTTATGATAGTGACTACATGTTTCATCATCTTTCCAGCACTTACAAACATCATCAATGTCTTTACTGTCACTTTTGATCAGCCTAATGCACTTTTGCAGAATATTTCGCATAAAAATATAAAAAAAGGAAGACAATTCTTACAGACCCATAAAGACTGCATATTTTAACCCCTAACCAAATAAACCTAAACCAGCAAATCAAGGTCTTACTAGGCATACAATTCCAGACAAGTGTTTAAGGCATGTTGAAGCTGAACAGTGAACAGTGAAGCTCTAAAACACAGTTTAAACATGCCTATAAAACTTTTGAACAGTATAGTCTAATTTTTATCTTTCTATTTCAGATTTTTAAAACTGTTTTTAAAATTGGTAATCGAAATGATAATCAAAATGATAATCTTAATGTACAATGTTTTCTGAAGATTCATGTGACCCTGAAGATTATAATGCTGAAAATTCAGCGCTCACAAACAACAACAATGTAATTTATTCTTGTGAATTCTTTTTAAAATATATTCAAATATTGGGTTATAAATGTGGCCTTGTTGAGCGTAAAAGACTTATTTTAAAAGCATTAAAAATCTAACATTAAACAGCAGCAGATGCTGTTTTCAAAATGAAGGACAACATTATTTGGCCACTTCGGAGTTGTGAAGTGTAGCAAGGTTTTTCATGGCTAATGTGGGGAAATACTTCAGGCTTTATGACTTTATACATCCACTAAAATCACACTGGGGCCAGTTAAAAGAAAAGTCTTGGAATAGAGAAATAAGTTTTGAGAAAAGTCAAGCATCAGTTGTTTTCAGACATTCCTCATTTCTAAAGCCGGACTTAGTGTCCAAACATCTTATCAACTTTAAGGCAATATATACATATGTGGCATACAGGAAGCCAGGTGTGACAAAACGAAACCACTTCAACCCTTCATAAATTGAAAAAGATCACAAAGCAGACATGAGATTTATCCTTGAGAGTCTGACATGCGACAAGTCTGCAGTAATGAGAAGAAAACATGACGTTTCAGGTGCAAAGCGAGGCCTGACCTCAAGCATGGTGCTGTTCCAAACACGCGCTCTGACGGTAAGCATGGCGGAGGTTTTCATTGCGCTCAAAGGGCAGCTGAAGGTCTGACAGCGGGCAGTGCCCTTGGTGCAGTTCTGACATTGAGAAAGAGAGAGCAGTGACAGCCGGTAAACTCTTTAGGCAAGGCACTTCATGTGAATAGAGTAATGAGTAAGGCCAGACAGAATCTGCTGACATTTTTTTGCTATTTCTGCTGATTTAAGTTGAATGATTTTGCCAGTATCATACCTAAAAACTTAATGTTGAAATAAAATAATATGTTTTTAACTTTTATTTCATGGTTACAATGCAAATCCATCTAGATTCACTTATTTGGTAAACAAGGCAAGTCTATCATATATTATATCTACTAAAAGACAGAAAATACTACTTTACAAACTGTATTGACTGTAAGTCAAATTAACACATTTTTTAAAATCAATATTATTACTGAAATCACACAAATTTACACAAGTAAACTAGTAGACTCGATAGGCTAAAAATCTGGGGAAATCTGCAGATTTCGTGTGGGCCTAGTAATGAGTTATATTATTGACTACAAATTTCATCATCTTTCCAGCACTTAAAAACATTAAGAATGTCTTTAAGGTAATTTTTGATAGATTTAATAGACCCTTTCTCTTTCATTTCTTTGTAAAGAAGATAATTCTTACAGACCCTGAAAGAGGGGTGTTACTGTCTACTGTAAGTTACTGTAACTGTAAGACTGCTAACTCAGCAAATCAACATAATCACAAAGTGAGTCTTCAGTGCATCTTAGATGCTCGAGTGCCACCATCTTAAAACAGAACAGACATCATCCATAATAAAGGTACTTGCCCAAATACAGTTTTTTTATGACACAAAACTTTACTGATGCTATGATTATTGCCATATGTACTCTGCTGATTGATAACATTAGCTGCAAAAACTATTTGTATTAGCTTTCTGAAATGTGATTTAAATATTTATCATTTTATTAAAAACACAAATATCTGAACACTGGATAAAGTTAGGTTTAAAACTGGTGTTCCCCATTTTTAATGTATTAGAGTCAAAGGGTTTTACAGAGTACATTTTGGGAATCTCTAGATAAAACTCCATCATTCATAACTACATCATTCAGCGATCAGCCAGTAAACAATGCTTTTGTGGAGTAAATGTATATAAATCAGGGAAATAATGTATAAACAATGTATGAATTAATATATGAATCTCTCTCTTTCAAAAAAAACTTGAAAATAGAGATAATAATAATAAACCTGAAGTTTGTTATTTGGTGCATTTTTCAGAAAGTGGACTTTGAAATTGTGCTGTACTTGAAATCTACACAAAAACAAACACTCTAGCATGTACTATAGATGTTTATTTTAATATTTGAATGAAAAAAAAACACCTTCTAAAAGGCAAAATCTCTAAATTGACAGGTTTATTAAATTTTGTATTTTTGTTTTGCCTTGCTTTAATTTAGATTTTTCTAGTCTTAGTTGCATACTACATCTTAAAACAGAACAGACGCCATCTATAATAAAGGTACTTGTAAGTAGGCTGGACTTGCTTAAATACAGATTTTGTATGACACTGCTACAAAACTTTAATGATAGTATAATTATTACCTTATGTACTCTGTTGGTTGATTACATTAGCTGCAAAAACTATTTGTATTAGCTTTCTAAAATGTTGATTAAATATGCAAATTAGGCATAATTGCATTAAAAACACAAACATCTAAACACTAGATGAAGTCCGGTTTAATATTGGTGTTCTCCAGTTTTGATGTATTATAGTCAAAGGGTTTTACCGAGTAAATTTTGGGAATCTCTAGTTTTAACTTCATCATTCAGAAAATACTGCAAGAAAGTATTATTTGTTTTATTTCGGCTAGAAAAAAAGCAGTTTTCATTTTTTTAAAACCCACTTTAAGGTCAAAATTATTAGCCCCTTAAAGCTATTTTTTTTAATTGTCTACAGAACAAACCATCATTATACAATAACTTGCCTAATTACCCTAACCTGCCTAGTTCACCTAATTAACCTAGTTAAGCCTTTAAAAGTCACTTTAAGCTGTATAGAAGTGTCTTGAAAAATATCTAGAAAAATATTATTTACTGACATCATGGCAAAGATCAAATAAATCAGTTATTAGAAATGAGTTATTAAAACTTTTATGTTCAGAAATGTGTTGAAAACAAATTCTATCCATTAAACAGAAATTGGGGAAAAAAATAAATAGGGGGGCTAATAAATCAGGACGGAAAATAATTCTGACTTCAACTGTATATAAATCAGGAAAATAATGCATGAATTCTGTATGTATGAATAATGTAGCTTTAAATGTAAAAAAGCTTTAAAATAGAGATAATAATAAACCTGAAGTTTGCTATTTGTGCATTTTTCAGAAAATAGACTTTAAAATTGTGCTGTACTTGAAATCTACACAAAATCAAACACTCTAAAGTGTACTTTAGATGTTTACTCTATATTTGAATGAAAAAACACACTTTCTAAAAGGCAAAATCTCTAAATTGACAGGTCCATTAAAAATGTTTTTTTGCCTTGCTTTAATTTTGTTTTTATCTGGTTGCATACTACATCCTGCAAAGTATCAGAGGAGACATGACATGGCGCTATCATCCAGTTGCCTAGCAACAAAACAATGGTTGAGAGAGATGGATATACGCACCAGGACTTCTCTAGGCTTGTTTTGGCCCTGACGGGTTTTCTGCGACATAGCCAGTTTGGACTCTGACAAGACCTCGTCTCTTTTCCTCCTCCTAGACTTACGCTCTGACACCTAAACCACAAAGGCAACACATCCATCGCATTAACATACACAATATGCACAGTACACAACAATGATGCCAACGCAGAGGTGATGTATTTTTTTGTCAGTCAACCATGAAACAAATATCTTAGCATCTTCGGGTCCACTGTACCAAAAGTGAATTCATTTTTTATTATTTGTTTTTGTTAAATGTTTGAAATAAGATCTGTGGTTATCTGTGAAATAAGATTTGTATATAGTTTTTTTTTTTTTTTTTGCACAACATAAAATATAGAAAGTATGACCTCCTTGATGTTCATGGTTTAAAGCTTTTTCTTGTCTTGACAAAGGGCTAAGTGGAATTACAGAGGTTTTCTGGCACATTAAACATCATCACAACACTGAACAGGAAAAATGTATCCTCGCTAATTCACTTTTACAGCTTCTTTATTTTTATATTCATGCACAAACTAAATGTTTTTAAATAAAGACAAAGTTACTGAAGGCTGAAGGCTTTGGTGTTATTCATTTATAGACTATGCTATGTTTTACTTCTAGTAATTCTATTAAGGTTTCTGAAAGTCATCATGAACAAAACTTAATCTAATGTAATTATGTGTAATGTAATCATACATATTTTAGTTAAAATGAAGATCACGAAATAGTGATCCTGATATTAACAAAATGTAAAGATGATTACATTTAATAAGGCTTGTGACCAAATGTTAATTGCTAATAAATATATTTTACAACCCATGCTCATTCTGATTACGTACCCCTATATACATATTTGGGGAGCCCCAAATACCTCCCAGGAGCTATGTTTATTTTTTTTTTTGCAGTTTTGTTTTCATGAAGCACCAGAGGCTGCTGTGTACGCTTTTTTAGATTTCAAATTTCTCTCGCGAGTGCAATTTGCAACAGCTGTTCTTGCATAAATCCACCAGAGGCCGATGTGGACAGACTAACTGATAACCAAAAGATGACCCTTTCTGGCTGCATAATTCGTGATCTCCAGATATGTATATAGGGCTATGTTTTCAAAATTAACCTATGTTGATATTTTAATATTTAACATTTACTGTTACTGAAAACTTTAATGTCCAAAATTCAGCAAATCGATCTCACAAGGAACAAATGAAAATTCTAATCTGTTGGTCCTTGCCAAAAGGGACCCAATACCGAGTTCCTGAGGGAAATATTTGAAATGACTTAAAAAGAGTATGGGAAATATCAGATGTAATCTGATGGGCTTTCTTTAACAGCTGGCTTTCATTCAAATGGTATAACACTGACACTTTAACCAATTAATACTTTGCTGCAGGTATTTAAAACCTTAGACAGAGAGTTCTTCTTTTTTTACTTTTAAAGTAGCAAACCAACAAATGGATTCTATATAGTCCTTAAACAATGCCACCATCAGAGTCTTATTAATATTAAATGTTGCTAATTTTCACAAACAATAAAGTCTTTGTTGGCCTGTCCTACATAGTCTTTCTGTATTTTTAAATAAAAATTGTATTTATTATCAATAATAGTACCTAGGTACTTATAGCTTTCCACTAATTCAATCTGGCAGTTATTAACCATAGCACCCATGTAATATTATGTCCAGCTTCCGACGCAGGTCAATGCACATCTCTTTCGTTTCCTCTGTGTTCACACGTAGACCAGCTTCTTGACACACATTTGTAAAATATTCAACAACAGGTCCATGCTCTGCCTCCTCACCCACCAACAAACTTACAAAAAAAGTGTCATCCGCAAACTCAAGAATGTACCGATTGTCAAAAGGACTTTGACACTCATTTGTGTATAGGATGTAAATAAGAGGAGAAAGAACACACCTCTTTGGTAAGCCCATAGATGTGGTCATAGGATCCAACAGAATACTGTTAACCCTAACCCTCTGAGACCTGTTAGGGTGCTTTCACACCTACACTTTTGTGTTTGCCCAGTTAGCGCAGTTCGTTTGGCATATGTGAAACCACCAATCGCTCTCGAATCCGCGCCAAATCAATCAATCTGAGATCGCTTTGATGAGGTGGTCTCGCCTCGATTGAAACGAAACCCTGGATTGGATCGATTGCAGTGAGAAAGCAAATGATCCGAGCGCGGTTATATCACTGTGTTTTATGGATATGTGATAGGCATAAGGCTATATGAATAGAGAATTATGAGTAGGGCGGGAAGTTTCGCGAGTCTCCAGATGCCCGCAAACGAGTGATGATCTCCCGGTAATCTCGCGTCTCCCTCCTGGTCCTCAAATAGGCTACATCGCGTACCCTTCTCACCCCTCCCCACCGAATCTCTCCTCACTCTTCAGACACGTCGCGCGCACCTTGTCAAACACCACCAAACCACCACCTCTCCTGACAGCTGAGCGGGACTCTGCAAAATAAACCCTGACACTCTGACCAATGTGAGGAGAGTTTACTCACACGTGACTTGTTTTAGCTCTTTTGCTCTGATTAGAAACTTTGCAGTGCGAAAGTAAACTGCACCAAGAGCAAAGAGTAACAATGTAACATTCGTAATCTCTGTTTCGGAACAACTGAATCGATTTACAGGTGTGAAAGCACCCTTAGTAAGGAAAATCCAGTAACCAAGCAGTCATACTTGCATCCACTCCAAAACTCGACGAATTGTGCTGAATGCCGAAGAGAAATCTACGAATAATATTCTAGCATATTTTACATTTATTTTTACATAAATTATTTAATGATTCTCTGTTTTTATTTTAAGTAATATTCATTCATTTTCTTTTCAATGGGAAATACACTTATTCACACACATACACTACAAACAATTTAGCTTACCCAATTCACCTGTACCCCGTCTTTGGACTTGTTAAGGAATCCCGCGCAAACGCAAGGAGAACATGCAAACTCCACAGAGAAATGCCAACTGACCCAGCCGAGACTCAAACCAGAGACCTTCTTGCTGTGAGTAAACAGCACTACCTACTGCGCCACTGTGTCGCCATTTAAAGTAATAATGTTAAAATAAACTTTATGTGAGGCATCAAGTTACTTTCAAAAGGTGATTTGCTATTTTTAATTGCTTCAGAAAATTTTAGTGTCTAACTTTAAACTTTTATCTCCGTACTTCTGATAATCTGACTTTTCAAAACTCAACATAGTATAATGTGTGGCTGAAAAAGTCAAAAGACTAAAGATTTTATAAAAACATGTCAACAGATTAAGCACAAATCTGACTGTTTGCCATGATTGTTTTCATCAAAAAGGTTTAAAAGAGAAAAGCTCAATCAGTTTTTTTAGGAATAAAATTGCATGGGTGTTTAAATCCAGATTGCAATCTTTCAACACTTACTCGTGCAGTTCTTAAAAAAAAAAAAGAAGAAGAAACTTTTGTTGTTGTAATCATTCAAAAACCAATGGAAATTTTCGAATGGGTTTTTATGAGGGAACCCAAGAGATGCTAAATCCTGAGGTGGCCTACAAAATTAAGTCAACTGGATTACGTTTCACCACGTTACGTAATTCTACATCACATTAATAAGCATGGAGCACCGTGAATTACAGCATTTTGATTGAGTGGCTTGCTATTATACAAGATGTTTCTCTCTTAGCTAATTCTCTCTTGAGTTTGGCGCTTTATTTGTAGAACATCTAGACCTCATAAGCACATGTCACTCTGATTTATAGGCACACCGAGATAGATATTCTGTGAACCGCCCTTTGCTTCATACGAGGAGATGGACTTTTTGGAAAAAAAGAAATCCCACATGGCTTTGTACATCGAGCAAGATTGCAGTGCGAGCTGTGGATAATATAGTTTTGGGAAAGGAGGAGCTCCCAGTCCCAGCATGATTTCTTCTGCTGCTCCTCTAAGGGATTCAGAGGCTGGTTCGCCTCTTATATTGCAGGAAAACAATCAGCGATGGCAACACTCATGCATATAATTACTTACTGTGAGATTAAGGGGGTTTACGATGCCTTTAGCGACACAGAAGGACTCTGATGTTCCCGTCATCTGAATCTCTGATAGGTAAAGCAGCCACTTCTCATTAGCCACGGCAGAAGGCCACTGAAAGACCACTTCCAGAAAGCCCAGATTTCCCAAAGGTTTTCCAGAAATGTCCACCTTTAGAGAAAGGATTTAACACAAAGTAACAGCTGTGAGTAATCGTGAACTGCTAACAAAAGAGCTGAATTTGCTTGCTTGTGTTGGTTTTTTAACAAAGTTAGGCAAGGCAAGGCAAGTTTATTTATATAGCACATTTTATACACAGTGGCAATTCAAAGTGCTTTACATAAACAGGAATAAGAGAAGCAAGTATAAGAAAAATAAAAACAAATAATAAAAATGATGAAAAAAACATAAAAACTGATAAAATGTGATATATGTCCAAAAGGCACGTAGGTCTATAAAGTCGTGTTTTTGCATATTTATTTGTTTAAAATACATAGTGTGGATTAAAATATAATAAACCGAGAGAGTAAATCTTTGACCATATTTTTAAAAATAAGCTTGAAAAGTTGTCTGTAGCAGGGCGGTGCTGAAGTCACAGGTGAACGTCCTGAAGGCACTGCAGTCCGTTTATAGCCTAATGTTATCTTTTCAATTCTTGCGTTAGCATTTAAGATCCAAAAGTGCTTAATGTTGTATTTTTGTGTGAGGATTATTCGGCTGGACAAAACGTGTAAGTGTAATGAACAGTGTTTGAACACAGAGCTTATTATTTGCAAATCTTTGAAAAGCCTATGGGAAAATCCTATAGGGATTTTATTGAGGGAACCAGTTTTATGCTAGCAGCCGATTAGCCTACAAGGTGACATTATAGTAAATAATATAAATAAATAAATAAAAATATATTTATATAAATTTATCACAAAATCAAGCAAACTCTGCAAAATTATGAGAATCTCAAATTTTTTTCTGAGATGCTGCTGATTTTCCGCAAATTCAAAGTCTAGACGATTTATATGATGTCATCACGACACAGATTCACCCAAAACAAAGGTCAGTGGACACAAACAACCCCCGAAAAGCCATTGTAGGTGGCAGTGTATACCTTTATGCTGGTCTGTAACTCAGCATTTAATTTAACCAGACGAAGAAGACACTGCATGTTTAATAAGAGTAAACTTACAAAGTCGCATTTACCCACAAAAAATTACTGCAAAAGACTGTTGTGAAAGACTGATAAAAAAAAACTGAGGTGAGCGAAATAATTAAAGACTTATTGCGGGGACACCACACAGCACAGGCATTGTGTCATGCCTCTTTCACATGCTAGCAGAGCAGAAAGCAGTATGTGTGCAGCACATGAGCAGAAGCAGCATGTGTAGGACACACCTGACTCACGGCTGTTGCAGACATCGTTTTATTTCTATTTACCCATCGACTGTACTGTATATAGCTGAAGCCAAAATTATTAGCCCTCCTGACTTTTGTCTGTGGTATTTTTTTTTTACAGCAAATTAACTCAAAATAATGCCACAATTATTGCCACAAATTTCTGCCTAAATTCAGAAAAAAAGTCCTGCAAAATCCTGGAGGGAATGATGACTGTCAATGGGAAGTTTTCACTATTGCTTAAAAAGCTTCTTTTGTGTTCAACAGAAAATATGAATAACTTGGCGTTGAGTAAATAGTGAGTAAAATTTTCTTTAAATAACAGTTTTCAGCAGCGCTTTTTTTCAGACCACTTTCACACCATGTAAAAAAATTATGATCGAGTGTATGAAGTAAAACGATGCGATTGAGTGTAATTATATTGTACATAGACATTTGAACTAACTGGCCATATTTCTAGCAAGCGACCAGAAATTCTGTCAATCATCTCTATTTCTGTGCATGGAGCTGTGCTGAAGTCTACACTGTGAAAAAATATCTGTTAATTAGAAGTTGTCCAAACTATTATTTATGTTTTTATTTTATTTTTCCTATTTATTTAAGTGTTTGAAATGAATTGTGGGACCTTGATCTTTCTTCCAACAACTTTTAACCCTGAAAAGTTAGAAAAAGTGACTTTTCTGAATGTTTGTAATAGTTTAAAGTGTTATTTTGTCAGGTTGGTGTTTTATATTACGCTACAAAAACCTTGTAATTAACTGCCAGCACTTATTCTGCTATTTTACAGACTTATTTCTCTATATATTTTATTCTTATGCATTATAATATTTCAAACAACTAAAATGTCAATAAAAGTCACTTTGTTAAACTGTAGAGTTGAATTTTCAACATCAAGCATTGACAGAGCAAAGATCAACATCGCATAATGCAATTCACAACTGTAAACATATGGAAAACACTTGTGAATCACAAAATGTGGAAGCTGTTAATTAACAGATATTTTTAACTGTGTATGTTAAATGTCACCCAGAGCCAATCAATCATTTTGAAAGAAGTCTCTTTTGCTTCTTAAGCTTAGTTTATTTGGATCAAAAAACTGGAATATTGTGAAATATTATTTCAAAGTAACTGCTTACTATAAGAATCCACTTCAAAAATGTAATGAATTGCTTTGTTTAAAACAAGAGTTGTCCAAACTTAGTCCTGGAGGGCCGATGTCCTGCAGATTTTAGCTCCAACTTGCCTCAACACATTTGTAAGGATGTTTCTAGAAAGCCTAGTATAAAGCTGCGGTCACACTGCACTTTTCTCCCTATTGACTTCCATTTGTACACACACGAATGCGTCAAGTCACCTTTCCACAGTACAGATCATCTCTGTATGCAGAAAATTTGGATCCGATTAGAGCTGCAGGTATGTTCAAATGTTTGAACTCCTGCGACTAAACCGCACGCGACCGGCCGACCTGATGTGATGTATTCTAGTGTAGTCCAGCAGGTCCGTGCACGCAAGATGATAACTAGTAGATTTTTTCGTTATTTTTTGAATCAGAAAAAAAGTCTATATTAAAAAAACATTTCTTTTCATAAATGAGTAAAAAAACACTGCCGTGAACACACGGAGAATAAAGGCTCTTGCTTTTGCACTACTTTATTTCGGACACCTCAAGAATCAGCTTCTCTCCTATGGTGCACGACAAAACTGAAAATTCTGTGCGACTGCCACAATGGGGCGTATTCCAACAGTCGTGTCCAAATGTCATATGCAGTGAAAAGACGGCTTCAGATCGTAAACGCAAGCTCGTGCGACAAGTTTCACAGTTCACTGCATTGGAATGGTCCAGCTTTGTGAACTCTGACCTGCGAAATCGCATCACTTGACTGTGTGAGACCAATCGAAGATCAAAGCGACCTCTCTGGACAGAAATTTATAATATGGACCAATCGCTCGCTTCTTTTAATGTTTAATTTAATGGTATTATTTTTAACTATTAATGTGAAAAACATTTGTGTACATTTTTTTATGTACACTGATTTGAAAGCCAATACAATTATATTGAGCTTAGTCTTTTAATAATGGTTCTTAATGTCATCAATGTTGGATTACTTTTTGCACTCATATTTGTGGTATATTTTACTTTTCAGGACACATTAATGAATATGATGGATTAATTACTCTTATAAATTCAGCTTGGAATCACAGAAATAAATAAAACGTTAAAATACATCAACATCAACAAAACGTTTTTTTAAATCAAAATAATACAACAAATAAAACAAAACAGTATTAAAGTGTATGTATCATTGATCAAATGCATGCAGAGCTGGTGAGTAAAAAACACTAATTTCAAGAAATTTTTCACGGCCTTATATTTTTAAGATAATCGTATTAAAAATATAAATAACTTAAATTTACGTTAAATTAAACTGACTTAAAACATCAAGTTAGTGTCATGTGTAGGGATCAAAGTGAGGAACAACAGAGAAGGATCCAAGTGCAGGTAAAATAAGATTATAATTAATGCAAACAGGGACAAACAGAAGTGGCTGGTAGAAAAAGGGCAATCCAAAAACAGTCAATAAACTGGTATGAGGTCGAAATAAGCAGCAAACAGGATCAAACAATAAACAAGGCCAAAAACAAACAGGCAAAATAAAGGTTCACACTTTGATGGACCGTTTGTTGATTTTAAGTTACATTGCATCTACATGCTGACTAATTCACGTTAGATTATAAGTAAACTGTTAGGTTGGGGTTAGAGTTGACATGTACAGTACTTGCGAAGATTCTTGTATTCTGTTAAATGTCAGTTTAGGAGCAGCACCAGCAGATATTAAGCAGACAGTCTACTAATAATCAAATGGACCATCAAAATAAAGTGTTACCAAATAAATAAAAGCAATCATACATCAAGGACTCCATGCTAATGATCAGGGATCACAAGTATCAGCTGTATGTGTCTCATCAGCCGTGATCGACAACTGGTATGTGTGACATGGCTTGATTTGTAGTTCCTAAACAAGACATTTGTAGTTCACCAGCAATTTGTCAGGAGTGGATTGTGGTGATGACGGCAGTGAGTTCTTATATAATCTTGTGTACACTCAAAAAATGACGTTTGCTTCATTACAATGAGCTAAAACAACACAAAAACAAGTTTTTTGGGACAAGATAATTGTTTTATGTTCAATTCACTTAAATTTGTAATAAACTAATAAGCAATAAGTTAAATTAATTCTGAATGTGTGGAACTTAGCATTTTTTACAGTGTATGATCAAGTTAAAACGTAATGCTTAATATCTTTAATAAGGAACATAAGGCATATGTTGCCATGACAGTAAAAAGCATCTTACCGAGATGTTGAATTCCACTGGGCTTCCGATATCACTGGTACTCTTCATGGCCGACTCTCCCACTACATTGCCACTGAATTCTGCCCTGAAGTAAGGGCTGAAGAAAGTACAGACATCTTACAAATTCATTTCTTTACTAACAGATTTTTACATAGCTCTTGCTAAAGTTGAACGTCAGCCAAAAAAAGTAAGGAAATATCTGTTTGTAATGCTAAAAAGTAACATGAGTCATTCTGACATCACTCTGAAAAGTGTTAAGGCAGAACAGAAGATCTGCTGAAATTCTCAAAGGACAGAAATGGCGCATAACTCACATTAAATTAAAAAGCGGCTGTAGGATGTACTCCACCAACAGCACCCTCGACAGCGGCCGTAGATCATTTTGATCACTCAACCTGTGAAGTGCAGATGAAATCATGAGCCAGTGTCCATATCTGAATCACAGCCTTTGAACAATCCTTTGTTACAAACCATTGTTCTTTCATATGCATATTAGTCGGATGTTAGCGGTTAAAGTCGCTGATCTGAACAGTGAATCATTGAATGTATTTGCCCCTGTTTATGCACTGCATTCGTTTCTGTGGGTGGATAGAGATGCTAATGATATTCTTTCCACATACAGTTCTGCTCAACTTTACGGCATCTGCCAGATGTCTATGATTTTAGGAGGAAAAAGAGGAGAGATGATAAAAATTCTTTGTGTGTAGGGTTTCAATTCTATTGCGTGGTTGTCTTTGTTTCTATGGTTATTGTTTGATTGATTTCACTCACCTGCTCCTCATGTGGTTCATTAGTTTTATAGTCCTCAGTTGAGTTGCTTCATTGTTTGTGCTTAACACACTGTTTTGTTACGTTTCGGATTATTCTCTGTTTTTGTTTGATAAAGTTAAGCTGCTTTTCATAGCCTCATTTTCTTCCTCAGCCTGAATGTAACATATGCTATCTTGAAATTGTTTTGATGTAATATAATAAATGAAATGGCACAAGCACTGGAGTTTGCATGTGTTTTCATATTGTTATTCATTCATTTTCCTTCTGCTTAGTCCCTTATTCATCAGGGGTCACCACAGCGGAATGAACCGGCAACTATTCTAGCAGATGTTTTATGCAAAGTATGTAATGAGTAATGTAATGTGTATTTATATAGTTTATTTATCATGTATAGACAGACATACAACCAAATCGCTTCACAATCATGGGTGGGGTTCCTCTACACTACCACCAGTGTGCAGCATCCACTTGGATAATGCGAAAACAGCCACAGGACAATGGCACCAGTGCGCTCACCACAAACCAACTATTGATGGAGCGGAGAGACAGTGATAGAGCCAATTCTGTGGATGGGGATGATTGGGAGGCCATGAACGATAAGGGCCCATGGAGCGTATGCGATCAGGACACCAGGGCTACACCTCTACCCTTTACGAAAAATGCCATGGGAGTTTTAACGACCACAGAGTGTCAGGAGTGTTAATGCCCATGCGAAACACTGTGCTCACTGACAGTATAGTGTCCCCTTCACTAAACTGGGGCATTAGGACCTACATAGGTTGGCTGCCCCCTGCTGGCCTCACTAACACACCACTGCCAAAGCAACCTAGTTTTCACATGTGGTCTCCCCTCCAGGTACTGACCAAACCTGCTTAGCTTTAGTGAGTAACTAGTCTTGGGCTGCAGGGTGATGTGGCTGTGGATGCCCATACAGCTGCAACCCAGTACTAGGAAACATCCATTCATATTCACATTCACACACACACACACACACACACACAGGACAATTTTGTTTACCCAATTCCCCTGTAATACATGTCTTTGGACTGTAGGGGAAACCAGAGAACCTGGAGAAAACCCATGTGAACATGAGGAGAACATGCAAACACCACACAGTAATGCCAACTGACTTAGCCAGGACTCGAACCAGCTATCTTCTTGCTATGAGGTGACAATGCAAACCATTTCGGATGTCAACTGTCCACTGTCTTCTGTTCTTCTGACCTTCGAGGTCCTGACTCTCTGTGGTCATTAAAAATCCCATGGAACTTCTCGTGAAAGAGCAGGGGTGTAACCCCGGTGTCCTGGCCAAAGTCCCTCTATCGGCCCTTACGATTATGGCCTCTCAATCATCCCCATCCACTGAGTTGGCACTATCACTGTCTCTCCACTTCACCAATAGCTGGTGTGTGGTGAGCGCACTGGCGCCATTGTTCTGTGGCTGCCGTCGCATCATCCAAGAGGACGCTGCACACTAGTGGTGGTGTGGAGAGACCCCCCTCATGATTGTGAAGCGCTTTGGGTGTATGGCTATACACAATAAATGCGCTATATAAATACACATTACATTACACTGAACCACCGTTCCACTCTCTTGTGTTAATATAATATAATATAATATAATATAATATAATATAATATAATATAATATAATATAATATAATATAATATAATATAATATAATATAATATAATATAATATAATATAGTATTACATACTGCATAATCCAACAACAATTCTCTGCATTTTTTAAAATCATCTTCTTCATATACAAGTAATTATTTCAACATTGTTTTTATGGCTTGTTTTTTTTGTTGTTCTCCTTTTTATTTAAACGCTAAACTTCAAAGAGATTCAGCATGGGTTATGTAAACCTACGAGCGCCACAGTTTCTCTTCAGGATTCTGTGCTCTCTGTAGAGATATTGATTTTTTTTTTTTCAACCTCATTTCCTGCAAAACATCCCCAAATGTGCAGCTTATTTGAGAATCTGAAGTAAATCAGGGTGATTTCTCATACGTTGAGAGCTGCAGCTCTGTCTCAATCTCCTGCATGTCTATTGAAATTCCTGATGTTTCAAACGTGATCTCGATCTCCACCTGTGAAATACATAAGTGGCCACAAGAAAATAAAAAGAAGAATCACCTTAATGCTTCTAGAAATGCTCTTTATTTCAACACTGTTAGCTCAATTCACATTCTATTACTGCATCCAGTGTATAATCAGTAACCTTAAAGTCTAATATGGTTGTGCAGGATATCTGCTATTACAGTAAATCTCAGGGTCATTTATACTAATGAGAACTTACCCTCTGATTGCTTTTGAAGGGGTCACCAAGTGTACACAACAGATAAGACCCCCCAGAAGATGGATCACCATTCAGGGTCTGCAAAAAAACAAATCAAGAAATAATTAAAATATTGTTTACCTGTAAATTTTTATACACTGCTGTTTAAAAGCTTGTGATTAATACAATGTATCACTCCAGTCTTCAGTTAAGAGATCCCAAAACCATTTAAATATGATGATTAGTAGCTCTGGGAAGATTTCTGATTATTACCAATTTTGAAAACAGTTGTGCTGCCTAATTTTTCAGGGCTCTTATATAAATACCGACTATTGCATTATTGCAACATTGTTTTTTCATCCATTTCATGATGTAATTTTCATCCATTTAAGGGATTCTTGCTTATTTTTTAAAAAAAAAGAATTACCACAAATATTTAACGTAGTTATCAACAACTGACATGTAATGGGTCTCTACATTTCCTTTTTAGCAAAAATCTAGGCAAAAAAAAAAACATCTACAGAAAGTTGTGATTGCCAGTATTGCCAGATACAGATATGAAATTAAATAATATCTATGTAGCTTCTTTTATTCGGTTTTGAGTTGTTACTTTGAGGAATAGTTCTTTTATTCGCCAAAAATTTCGCAAAAAAGTTATATTTAAAAAAATAGAAATAATAAATAAATCCTAGAGAAAAGTCACACCAAAACAACTGCTTTGTCCAGTGTAGTGTTAGCTAATTATTGTAGCATTAGTTGCACTTTAAAGTACTTTATATGTGTATACTAAGGCTAGGCTTTAGATTATGCATTTAATTATTCACAATATACTGTTATTACAACAGTAAATACATAAGACGCATAATAAGGACAGTGTAAAATAAAGTGTCACCACTACAATAACTATTGTCTTCATGATTAAACATTCCAGTTGGTTGTGACAAAATGTAACACTTGTTGTTGGAAGTGGCTTATTAATCTGAATAGCGTGGCTTTGTTCACTCAATAGTACTCATGTCTCACAATGAGCACTCCAGCGAAAGTGATGTTGAGCCTGACACAATAAGAGGAAAGGGTCTCAACCAAAGTGGCACATTTGAACATGTAAACACTAAAGCTTCACATTATTATGTTTCAGCATTGACACTGCTATGTCAGATTACAGGATCTGTGATTTCTTGTACAGCTCATCGAGCACCACATTTCCAAATCCACACAATTTGTAAATTCATTTCAAAGACTTAATATAATCAAATAAAAGTTTTTCATTTGCAAGTGTTTCTAAAGGTGCCATATAATGCATTGATGCAATATATTGAATTGTTGTCTGATATCTTAATAGAATTTATTAGCTATAGATGCAAAAATTCACCAGAAACATTTTTTCAGGTCCATTTCTAACCCAAGGATGTGACCATAATATTATATGCTTGGTTTTGACCATATTTGGAAGGGTTATGAATATCATTAAGCTCTACTCTAATGCTCTAGACGCTAATATTAGTGTTTGAAGCTCTCTCTCGTGCATGCACACACATACTCTGAAATACACACATGCAAAAGAACTATTTAATTTTCAGAATTTGATTAGATTCCTTTTTAAATGACAATATTTTCAACTGAAATGGTGGAAAGGTGTATTTTAGCGAGAAGGAGTGAGATATCTTTATGTTATCATAGTGATCTATTTAGCTCCTGTGATGTATTGTGGGTGAAATGTTGGCTAATCGACAATAGGAGTGATTTATTTGGAGTTGCAACAAACTTCATAATGCGACAAACTTCATAACATACACCTTAAACCTTATGCATGGCATGGCTGACTGCCTCACAAAACGGCTCCTTTACATTTCTTTGAAGCCTGTCCTATTTTCAAAATAAGAGTCCCACACACATAGCAAGTATAATACAAGTTAACACTTTAGTTTAGGTCACAATTCATGCTATAACTACTGGCTTATTACTTGGCTATTATTAATATATGAACTGTACATTAGTAGTTATAAAGTTCGATCTTATTCTGCATCCCTAATCCTACCCACAACTTAGCCCTACTTCTACCTAAATAATTATTAATAAACAACTAAATAAACGATTATTAAGCTAGTAGTGTTAGTCAATGTTTTTTTAATACAGTGAATTGTGACCTAAACTAAAGTATTTCCTAATACAAGATAAACTTAGAGGGAAAATAACGTGGTAATAATCGCAGTAGGAGGCCAATTAAATGCTGTCTGGGGCATAAGTATTAATGACCCCTTGTCACATTATTCACAAAAGAATGCCATTTCCATTAACTCTTGTTATTCAGCTGTGCCAGTATGTATATCCAGATTTTCATTCTATGGCACATTTAAGGCCTGTTACTGTGTAAATGTTCCAAAGTATTTTTATAATTAGTAAAAATCACCAAATGGATTAGCACCTCAATACAATGCAGATATGCTCACTCAATATGAACCAGAACACTTAGATCATTAGGATCTAGTTAATTAGGAAAACTAAGGGTTCACTCAAAGCAAAGCTTTTAGTTACTAGAAATGATCAGATGTGCTCCAATAGTAGACACATTCAAATCAAGACTTGAAGCACATCTGTTTACTGAATGAGCGCTGTGTTTGACTGATCACACTATTTATGTATATTTATGAATACATTTGTATTATTTTGAAAACTTTTTAAATTATTTATTTCTTTCCTGTGTTGTTTATTTCTTATACTTTTTTTGAGGCTAATAGAGGCCAGCTAGTGAAGTGCTGTGCAGGGAAACCTCACCCCTCTGACCTCAAAAGACAGATGCTAGAGGCCATGGTCTTTAGCCTCCTTGTTAAAGCAACTGACTCCCATACAAAGACCAGTGAGCTACATTATTATTAATCCAGATGCACATGAATCACCCAGTTCATGCTAAAATTATGAATCTTTTCTATAAGCTATTTAAGTCATCTAGTGGCATTGCTTTCATATATTAATAAAATTACTGCAGAAAACTAACATTTTGCATTCCCATTTTAATAATATTGTGCAACCCTCAGGGTTCCCACACTTTCATGAACAGCAGATCCAAGGATTTCCAATTCATTCAAATCAAGGATACCATTAATTTTAAACCAAGCACCTTTGTAATTCATACCCCAGCATATGTAGTGCCAGGAAAGTCCTTTCACTTAATAATTGCTTAACTTTTTAAAAATTGACTCAACTTTTACATTTTGTTGATTTTTATCAACAAATATTGATAAATTGTGCATTATTTGTCAGTGTTAAACTTAAGATTTTTTAATGTAAGAATTTCACATTTTTTTTTGTTCTGTTTTAGAAAATTGAGTACAGTTCTTGAAATAAAATCAAATTAAATTTAAGCACTTTCAAGGACATACTGTATGTTTTAAGTACTTTCCAGGCCTTGAATCAATATGTTTGAAATTCAAGTACTTTTAAGAAGCGTGGGAACCCTAAGGCCTAGTTAACATCAAGTTTAAAGTGCAATGTCTCCCAGCTGACCACAAGTGAACAGATATATTGAAAGACATGTTAAAACTCAGATAAAAATATGGCCTACTGATGGTAACTTGGGATTCAGGCTGGAGAAGCTGAGTGAGCTTGGAATGGTGATATTGAGAATAGCATTGTAAGCGTCTTCTGCTTTCCTGCCCTCTGATGGTACGTTGGAGACATTCACTAACAACTTCAGCTTCTTTATGTCGGTGGTGTAGTTGAAAATCTGGTGATCTTCCTGCCTGAAGAAACACAAACAATTCACATCGCTTCTATGATGTCAGGATAATTTCCATTTAATACACAACTCAGGGTCCAAATTGGCTCATCCTCAGTAAGTTAGCAAGTAAAAAAGTGTTTAATTTGGGACAATAAGCAAGAATCTGATTGGATAGATTGCTTAATTGTAGCACGTAGGAAGACGGTTTACCCTTAAATCCATTTATTCAGTCATCTTTTTTTTTTAAATGATGAGTGTCATACTTAGCTTACATGAGGAACGGTGTGTTCTTCTCATCTGTGAATGCAGCTGTCATCTGAAGGTTGCTCTCGCATTTGTTGTCTAAGCCACAGGCTTTCTGAATGTGAATCTATAGAACGAGATGACATTGGCGAAGTATGAGCAGGAATGTGAGCAGGTGGTGAAATGCGGACATTATGTTTCTAATGGAAACAAAGTGTGTTTTAGCGCCTGCAGTCACAGGTACTGTACCTCGGCTCTGCCGGTCAAGGCGTCTCGCTGGCTGATCACAGGAAAAGCACTAAGATCCTCCAGCATCTTTCCGCCTGAGGGAGGAGGATCCACCACAGACACGCTCAGCTGGAAAATGATCGCAGACACTTTGTCTTGGATTGTTTTGGACTGCGGGAGTCAAATGAAGAAACAACATATCAGAATCTTTTTGATGAGCAGCCCGGGCTCATGAATGAATTAATCCATCACCTTTAATTGATTAAATTCACAGTTATCAGGTTTTCTAAATGCTCTATCAGATGCCAAAAGTGGACAACAAATAATGAATACCAATATATGCTTACAGTGAGTGGTAATACTAAAACTCTTAAAAATAATGATGGCAATGACTATATTTATGCCTGATCTCAGATGATCTCTTGATAATGATTTCACTTTAATATACATTTATTTGAGTAATTAATAAATAAAGAAAAGTTAAGAAAAAGTAAATAATAGATAATTAAATAAACATGTAATTAAGTAAGTTTTAGGAACAACAAATATTACCTTGACTTCTAGTTAAAGACTTGGTATCAGAAGTGACTTATATGAAAGGCAAAGGAGTTTAGATTACGCTTATTTTACCAATATAAAATATGATCTTTGCTTATTTTGCTTATGAAATATGCTTTGTTTTTTAATTATTTAATAAGGACATTAAATTCTGACATTGCTTAGACAAAAGTTTTGTCACTTAACAGAATTAATAGAGTATAGAATATAAATTCATGGTGCAATGGAAAAAGAATTAATATCGTGCAACACTCCCATGAGCTTGAAGGACTGCATCCACACATCTCTGCAATGACTCAAATAACTTTTTAATAAAATCATCTGAAATGGCAAAGAAAGCGTTCTTGCAAGACTCCCAGAGTTCATCAAGATTCGTTGGATTCATTTTGAATGTCTCCTTCATCTTACCTCAGACAAGCTCAATAATGTTCACCTCTGGTGACTGGGCTAGCCAATCCTGCAGCACCTAGACCCTCTTTGCTTTCAAGAACTTTGATGTAGAGGCTAAAGTATGAGGATGAACGCTATCCTGCTAAAGAATTTGCCCTGTCCAGTGGTTTGTAATGTAATCGGCTGCACAAATGTCTTGAAACCTCCGGCTGTTGATGTTGCCATCCACTCTGCAGACCTCTCGCATGCCCCCATGCTGAATGTAACCCCAAACTATAATTTTTCCTTCACCAAACTTGACTGATTTCTGTGAGAATCTTGGGTCCATGCAGGTTCCAATAGGTCCTTCTGCATGATTTGTGATAATTGGAATGCAGTTCAACAGATGATTCATCAGAGAAATCTACCTTCTGCCACTTTTCTAAATTAACAACTAGAAGTCAAGTTAGTATTTGTTGCTCTTTCAACTGGGATCAATGACAAGGTAGTGTTTTTACATAAAGAAATATTGGTTTTCACACACAAGAATGCACAGAATTTCATATACACACAATAAAAAACGGAGATTTAGTGAAATAGGAATAGCACCAAGCAAAAACAAAAACACACACTCACAGTAATCCCAATCACACTTAAAAAACAGAAGTTTGCAGCAGCACATTTGTCCGAGTTGCCTACAGAGCAGAGTGACTGGAAGTGTCAGTCCATCATGAAATATTGGTGCCTAGGATGCAGCAAATCCAAGGACTGTATATTGAACATGACTTTATAAAAGATTCACTCAACATACTATAAACTAATATATAAAACATTTCTCAGTTCAAACAAGAGGAGGTTTGGACCCTGAAACAACATTCCATACGTCACAACTTAACAAGCAGATGGCAGTTGAAAGGATGGCCTTGTGTCTTACCGCCAGCTCGAGTTTTAGAGAATGACAATCTCCAGACGGATTAACAGACATTTTGCCAGTGTATTTGCCCTTATTGTTGTCAAGGAAACTAACACGGGGGCTCCTAGACGACTGCTGATCGGCCTCCACCGTATATTGAAGAGCTGTGAAAAGAAGAGGTCTTTCTCATACAGTAGGTACTTCATGTCAGATATGGACTCGGACAGTGAAACAGAATCATACTGAATCATGCATTTTGCATGACAACAACATTAAGATGGTTGTATTTAGGGTAATAAACTGCGATGTGGGACTTACTCACGGCCTTCTGGGAACTGGCAGTGCCAGTGCTGTATGTGTAGGAGAAACAGACTTTTGCTTCAATGCTGTTTGAGAAAACAAAATGTACTGATTTTAACATATTTAAACAGCTCAGTTATACAGTGATGATAAATTATACTAGCATTACAGCTGCTATTAGATAATTGGTCAAATTATAAATTACAGCAATATATTTGCAATTACTCTTACGCTTTTATCCAACCCAGGCTCATTCAGATTACGTACCCCTATATACATTTCTGGAGAAACGTTTTGCCGTTTTTGTTTTTAGGAATCCACTAGAGACCACTGTGTATGCTTTTTCAGATCTCAAATGTCTCTAGTAAGTGCCATTCGCACCTGCTGTTCTCACGTAAATCCACAAGAGACCGTTGTTGACTAACTGACAGACCAACTGACCCATCCTCCACCCTCCCCCTTCCCTAAACCCAACCAATAGTGTTTTCAAAATCACCTACTGACCTGCCAACCATCCTTCCTTAAACTCAACCGAGTTTTAAAAAGCAATCCAGAAAAAGAAAAGCCCCTTGATTTTTACCACATTTTCAGATTTTTCCACATTCTCACCTTGTTATTTACTTGTTTATTTTATTTTTTGGCTTCTGTTACTTCTGGAAACATTCTTCAACGTTATTGCGGTCAACTCCGCTCTGCATCTCAAGTCCGCTGATGTACGTGTTGAGCTACCTGACAAACTGGTAACAGCGGAAAAACCATCCATACGGAGGCAAATGATTAGCTGGTAAACGAGAAAAGGATTGCCATCATACCACCCCGTAGCGTTTGTTTTAAAGCAGTCATATGTAGCTCTGGCTACATAATTTGTGATCTCCAGAAATGTATATAGGGCTACGTTTTCAGATAGAGCCAACAGTCTGTTGCTTTTATCTATACATGTTAAAGCTTAAAAAAGCATCAAGTGCATGATTTTAATAGTCAGTGTTTTACAATTTTACAATCCTTATTGTTTAAAATGATTTAGATAAAATCAGATTTAAAACGGGGCATTTATACTTAACTATAGAATGCCTTTCTTAATGAATCTTTGTCAAATGCGAAGTCTAATCAGAATTGTTGTCAACTTGTAAAACAACTACTTGAAAAAAATACAATATTCTTTTAAATTTAGCAGAATTTAGCAAACAGCTACAGTACACTACACATTGCATAAAAAATAATATTAAAAATACTTTAAATGAGTCCATAAGCATCCGCAGTGGGTATGTTTAAAAACAGATGTATATTTTATGTTTTGGGAAATAACCAGCGATTATAATTTCTGTCACAACTGTGCAGTTCAACTTGTGATTATGTATTCTACTGAAGTGGACTTGATTTCTGTGTAAACAACAAGTGTAAAAGTTGGAGCGAGACGTTTAGGGATTTATTACCAGGCAACACAGTCTTCAAGGTTGATTACCATCGGTGTCACTGTGAAAGTATTCTTCAAGTGAATCACAGGACGTGATCTAATAAGGGAATAGATACGGCAAACACAGGAAAATAAAATCTCCAAGCCTGATGAAAATCACACCACAGTGATATTGTGATATAATAGTCAACTGGCTGGCTAACTTTGGTCTTTGTCTGCTAGTCTGATGTTAAACAACAACTAAAGTGAAACATAAAAATACAGGTGGCACTATTAAATTACCTGAGCAAGACCACACGGTCATCTAATGATCCAACTGCTATATCTGGGTAACCATTTCTGTCCACATCCAGGCCCCTACTAATGGAGTAGCCAAATGTCTGGAATCCTCCACCTGGGATGTCTTTTCCATCAATGACCTGAGGAATTAATGTTATATATTTAAGTTACATATTTGCAATAAACTGATTAAGACTAAGTTGTGTTAACAACTGGCATTAAAGGGATAGTTCCCTCAAAAATAAACGTGGCTTTATGAGTTTCTTTTTTCTGTTAATCAGAAAAATAAAATTTTTTGAAGTATTTTGGAAACTGGTAACCACTGACATCCAAAGTTGGTTAAAAAACACATGGAAGTCAATGGCTGCCATTTTCCAGTGTTATCTGATTTTGTGTTTAACTCTAACAGGTTTGGAATAAGTGGAGTGTGTGTAAATTATTACAGAACTATTATGGAGCTAATAATGTGCCAAAACAATCTGAATTTAACTGTGTTCAGTTGAATTATTAACAATCGTAATTTAATAAAACTGAATATTATATGGCATTAAAAATGTTTTGAATTTGAATTTCTTAACATGAATTTGAATTTCTAACTTGAATATTAAACATCTGAAATTTGAGACAACATATTTTTAAGTCAAATTTTTATAGACATATTATAGACAAAAATTAAGTTATCTTAAATTTCAGATGTTTAATATTAACGTTAATTAATTTTCAAATTAACTAATTAAATTCAAATTCAAGTTAAGAAATTTAAATTCAAAACATTTTTTAAGGTATATAATATTCAGTTTTATTAAATTACATTTGTTAATCATTCAAATTAACACAATCCGAATTCAGATTGATTTGACATATTATTAGCTCCATAAAATATAGATTTAAGACAGAAACAGCATCTAAATATTTCAAGTTTGTCCACTTTTGACCACTTTCAAGGGTATATAAAAATGCATTTGATCGGATTACTTCCATAGTGTAAAAGCTCATGTGGTAAAATGCATTTTAAGAGACTCAAAAAGACCACCTACTCTCCGCCTACTGACCTAACATCTGATCATTAATTGATTTGTTGTGAAAATATGCAACAAAACAATGCATCCATCCTCCATTGCATTGAACCAAAAGCCAAGGATTATGATGGAAATCCGCAGTCCCCATCCATATGCTATTCATTTGCTTGCTTACACAGCTTTGTTCATTCAATAATACTTATCCACCACACTAAATGTTTCTGCAAAGTGTGATGCAGAGTGTGACCAAATAAAAGTGAATAATCTCGAAGGAGGAAATTGTAATGTGGCTATGCTGAAAACTTGTGATCAAACCAATGAAATGCATGATAATACCAAGATAAAACTGCGCTTAATATATGTTTTGTATGATAAAGTTGAAATCCAGAGTAGAAAAAAAAAATTATGGTCAAGGGATACCAGTTGTTTTTAAAGTGATTAGTTGACTTTACTTAAAAAATGAGTGAAACCACTGCCATGAGATGATTAAGTAAATGAATTATGTGCAGTGACCGTTAAGATTGTGATGGTATGATATCCTTGAATAAAAACATCACGATTTCACGGTAGTATGGTGTTGTGATTACTTTTCCCACAGTGAACATAATATATTTTATTTTAAGAAACATTTAAAATATTTTGGACCAGTAGCTTTTGATATGGAGCGTCATTTTCTGCTGAAGATACTGTTGCTCTAAAAAAACTAAATAAAATAGTCACAAAAAAACACATTAAAATAAACTGTACTTATAGCGTAGGAATGGTATACAAGAAAATTTGGGTGATTTTGAAACCTTGACTTTTTTTTGACCAGTTATCGTCCCTAGTATGCCTAGTACTGTAATGACGTGTAAGTTACAAACATGAAAATTTAAATTTGAAAAAAATATAAACTCCAAACACTGACTTCCAACAATGGCCGAATGCAGACTTTGCTTGACTAAAGAATACAATGTATGACGCATGACATAACATATATATTTATTATTAAAGTTTAGAGATATAACTTATTTATCTCAGGAGTTTCCCTAAATGAAATGGTGAAAGTAAGCATCACCATGAAAATCTTAATAAAAGCATAAACACATTAAGGATGTTTATCTGCTTTAATTTGTTTTAAAATTAGTTTTATTTAAATTGCACAAATTATATTTGTAAGGTATTTATGCAAAGTATATATTGTGAAAAAATGTGAAAAAATTACAATAAATCATTGTATAAATGCTGTTATGTTTAAATCATTATCTGTTAAAAACGCGTGAAGGTCACATGAGCATTAGGAACAACGCAACATCTCATTTCTCACAGCACGTGTTCTGTGTTCTCGCTGTCTCATTCTTCAGAGGTAACTTGGCAAGAATGGTCTCCACGAGAACACAACGTCTACTTGGAACTATAAGGCTCTATCTGCTTTCTAAATGATTTTGAGATATTGAGCTTCACAGTTTTTGCATTCCATAGCAAACAGTATGTGTGTAATATATTTTTTTTAAAATAAAATGTCTTAAAATGTAAAAAACATCCCAAAATGAAAATAAATTGTCATTTAATAAGAATATGTCAATAACTCAATTTTGACAAAAAATGTCAGATAGAACCTTATAATTCTACGGGGACGACAAATCCATTCTCTGTGTTCTTGGAATTGAGAAACAACCTTAGTCCTGATGAGACGGTGTCCGGCAGAGTTTAGTTCCAACCCCAATGAAACAAACCTAACCGTGCTAATCAAGCTCTTTCTAGGAATTATAGAAACTTACAGGCAGGTGTGTTAAAGGAAGCTGGAACTAAACTTTGTAGGACACCAGCTTTCCATGGCAATGTGTTTACTCACTTTCTGAAGTAAACTCAACTTATTGCTTTAAACCCAATGGGCTTACCACCCACTTTTTTTTAAAGAAGTAAAGTATCATCCCTTTTTACACTTTTTTTAGTGTTTAAAAGAAGAAAGAAACTCAAATAGATTCGGTAAAAGTGGAGTACGAGTAAACAACGACAGTATTTATTATTTATTTTTTTGGTAAGCGTTAATAACTGTACACTATAAACACTTCTTAATATTACCATCTCACCTGACTAGGTTCTTGAGAAATGCCAGTTTTGCTGCCTGTCCATATAGACACTCTGCCTGTGCTATGATATGGAGCACCAACGGCAAAATCTGTAAATAAGAACATGAAAGAGAAACTGTCAAATCACTTAATGCCACAAGAAGGCAGCAAAGTAAAATACCTTGACTGTAATGTAGGAGTAGATATAGGCATCTCACATATTACTGATGAATATACATAATTCAAACAGACCACACACACACACACATAGATACATACTTAAATGTTAGATATGTTAGCCTTTAGGAAGAGAGTTTGTTGGTGAGCTTTTCTGATTAATTTTATTAAAAAATAAATAATAAAGTGGGCTCAGCCTCTGTATCTAAGCTAGCACAAAAGCTACTGTGGCATGGTGTACTCTGAATGAGCTCTGCAAACAAAATTGAACCGTTGCAAATAATAAATGCCAGTCAAGCAAACAATCTCACAAATCCTACCTTGGAAGCCATCTTGGTTAACATCACCAATGGCCACAACAGACATGCCAAAACCTGAGTCCTTGGGTCCAGTTAGGACCACATCAGATTTGTTACGAAAAGATCCGTTTTGGTTCATGTAGACGTATACTGCACCACCTTTGTCCATTTTTCGGTCAAAATAAAACGGGGCTCCAACAATCAGATCCTTCCAACTGTACGAATAACACACAGACATGTTTCAAGACCTTTTTCAGAAGTTAAGCAGGAAGAAAAACAAAAGCCCAAGACTTCCTTTACCCATCATTGTTAAGGTCCACAACAGCAACACTATTGCCAAAATATGACCCGACTTGTTCTCCTGTGACAGTGACTTTTATTTTGACTTCTCCACTGCCACCGCTTTTCAAAACTTCAGCCATCATCACAGATCCTTTTGCTTCGTCTCTCGGTGCTCCTGTTACCACTGTGTCTTTGCCTTTGACTAGAACATCTTGGTCCACAATCGTTGAGTAACCTGAATAGCAATTGGTCAATAAGTGTAATAAGATTTTTTTTTTGCACAGGCTGATTGTTTAAATTTGTAAGGCCTTAATGTAAAATCAAGAGTTACACTGACTTACATTTTATGTTTACATGTTAACAAAATAATAATAGCAATATTCAAATAAAATAGTGCTATTATTATTTTGTTAATATTTAATCTTTTGTGTTTTCCCTTTAAGCCGTATTTGCACTTTAAAACATTAACTTAAGACTGGATATGCCAATTCTTCAAGAGCACGTTTTGTGAAAAAATAAGTGTAACGAAGTCGGACGCTGACATGTGAATCCAAGAGAAATTTATTAGTTGAAGTTGTACAGGCAGAGGACAGAAACAGGAGCAAAACAATAGCACATGGGTATTCCGATATTTGGTGTTGTAAATGCAGGCAAGAGGTCAGACTAGGCGGCAAAGAATGAAAATGAGAAACTAGGGCTGGGCCAATAATCGAAAAGTAATCAAAATTGATATTCAGAAACTATAATCGATCTAATTTTTTCAATTAAATTTTTGAAATTACTTTCCCTACTGCGTGTGGAGTCATGTGACTCCACTCTGACTGATTTATACTTCTGCGTCGAACACACGGGAATGGTCTGGCGCAGCCTTTGTGCGGTCGTATACTTGCACACCTCCCAAAAAATGTAACTACACATTGCATGTTTGCACTACATTGACGATGATTGGGAGCTGCGCTAGAAAAGCCTTGAGATGGCATATTTTCCATTACAATAAAATTATTATTTACATTAAAATATTTGTTTACAGAAAATTCAAGAAATGAACTGAGATACCGCTTATTTTCTACTTTTAATATGAAAAACATAATTTTTTTTAAAACTTTTTTTATAAGAAAGACTGACTGTTTGTTTGTTTGTTTTAGGCAATGTGTGTTTTTATGTCAACATTGTCCAAAGTTAAAGTAAATAATCATAGATAGTAGATAGTGTGTGTTTCCTCTTCAATTATTTTAAAATCAAGCATTTACCCCCTCATTTAAAAATCCCTCATTCATAATATGTGGGCATATTTACAGTACAAAACTCATCAGTAAACTATCAGGGCAAAAAATTAAATAAATGAAATAATTGTTTATCAATCCTAATAAGTTAAATGTTCAATTAATTGATTTTAGGCCAAACGCCCAGCCCTACAAGGAACAAGGCTAGAATCAAAACACAGAAAAACCAATAAGGAAAGCGCTTTGTAATAAAATGAGCCTAAGCAACGTGAGAGTGAAGGTAAAATTAACTTATGGTCCTTGTAATCAGTGCATCATGAGCTACAGCTGTGACTGTGTGTGAGTGTCTGGATTATTGTCAGCTGCTGTAAGAGTTGTTAAGTGCAGAGAGTTCTAGGAGTTGTAGTTCATTAAGAAGTAATCTCTAACAGAGTAAATAGCGCTGACAATTACACCACTGGCGATTACAACAATAAGAGGTTTAGTTACAATTTTGCAATTCTGGGAATGATTTGTGTTCGGTAAACATGTATGGAATCAAAAAGAGAATTGGAACTGTATTTAAAAACCATTACAGACTCTCACAACAAGAAAGCAATTAAACCTTAATAAAACATGTGCTTTATTTAATATTCTGCAATAATTTGTTTTATTTTTGTCTTTTTTTGTTTCTTTTTCTTTCTCTTTGTCTTTCTTTTGCTTTACCTTTATAAAATTTATTTTAAAATTGTTACATTTCTCTTGTTGCAAAAAAGTAATATTTGTATTGCTTGTACTATACTTCTATCAGTTTTGTATTTCTATTTGATGTAATGGCCTGTTGTTATTGCAAAAAATAAATCTCACGCAGTCAAGTGATGCTATTACGCATCAATAAACAATTGATGCACAAATAAACTTGACGCATGAACTTGCGTTTCCGGTCTGATGCATTCGTGTGCGTATGAATGGAAGCCTACAGCGAGAAAAGTCCAATGTGACCGCAGCTTCACAATCATGCGTTGTGATTTCGCAGGTCAGAGTTCACCAAGCTTGAACTTTTCAATGCAGCGAAATGCGAAACTTGCCACTTGACCTTACGTTTCCGGTTTGACACATTCACGTGCGCATAAATGGAAGTCTAAGGGGAGAAAATTGCCCGTATTCCATTTACAGCTGTGGGCCCGTTTGCACAGCTCGTTTGCCTTTTTTCAAGAATGAGTATTTTATATGTGTTTAAACATAATTTATTGATAACAAACGTAGAAGTTGGAACAAAGAAATAAAATAAGTCCTCTGTAACATCGTAACATCTCAGCACTCTAAATGGGCATGGGTACATACACTTAGCCTTTAAATTGGTCAACACACCAATAAAAATACGTCTTTTCTAACAAATTAAAATAAATTCTAAATGATGAGGGGTATTTGGCAATAACAAAATTAAGATAAAGACTCTACGGGATTTGTTTCTCCACTTCTCTTCACTTCACTGAGCTGAACGTTACCTTATATACTCTGATTGCATTATGTACTTTTGGTTTAAGTAATGTTTAGTTATAATTTGTCTACGTGTTTTTGTGAAGGAACAATATTTAATCCACAGTTCATGGCTTTAGCATGGTCCTGCGTTCACTGATGATGCGTCCAGCAGCACTGAACTTCCTTTTCACTGCTGCTGCTGGCTGGGATGCATACAGTAGTACTACTGACCTGGCTATTTTGCAAGTTTTGGATAGGATTGTTTGTTCATGACAGTGGTTTCAATGAAGCAAGTGACCTCATTATTTTCCCTTGTCAGCTTGCTGTACATTTTCCCACTTCGCAAAATTCGCTCTTCTTGACTTCTCCGTCATCATAGGTTCTAACTTTGCAGGACTGGGTTTTGATGTTGTAACAAGCGATTTGATTGCTTTCTCGTGTTACTCGAAATGCATCACATGGTTCATTTACCGGGCAAGCCTGAGCCCGGCCCAACCCCATCTAAAATTATAGAAATTAAACCCGTACCCACCCAAACCCGTAGGGTCCAGTTGTATTTCATCGGGTTCAGGCAAAGATCTTCAGCTCTATTTCCATCTTACAGTGTTTGTAGTAAGTGTGATGGTTTGTAAATAAATACATGTTTTTGATAACAGCTCCGATCCTGTGCATTTGTAAAAGAGTGAATGTGAAGGTAAGAGTCTATTTAATGTTAATTTATTGTGAATTTAGTCAAATTATGTCTGACTTTACAATGGTATAGTAAGCATAATGTTACCAAAAGTCAATACAGGTAATGATATGGCAAAAAAACACTGCAACATGACTGTTTTAGTCAAATTTTTTTGTGCAACATGAATAAATGTATCACTGAAATTATACATTTTGCATCAGGTGAATTTAGCTGTGAGTTTGTGATGTATTTTACATTTACTGTATATGTAGTTTACTAAGTTGAAAAATAACACTGCTCCTCTTTGTTTAATTTCAATACAGAGAAAACATCCTAATCAATTGAAAAACTACTCAAAATAAAAATATTGCCCCCCTCTGAGACTGAATGGTGAATCACATGAGAGTCAGCTCTGATTTTTTTTCTACGTATTACTACTTTTTTTTTTTTTTAATTGTTTGTGCCTTTTTTGAACATTTGAGTTTGACTGAGACTTTTTGTTCTATTTTAAGGAATTAAAACTGTTCTTGGTGTTCTTTGAGCCTACATTCAGTAGGAGTAAAATACTTAAGTTCTTTTAAAATTGGATACTTTAATACTTTTACTCAAGTCGAATTGCAATTGGTGACTTGTAACTTGTGATGGAGAAACTTTTACAGTAAGGTATCTGTACTTTTACTCAAGTATGGTTTTCAGGTACTCTTTACACCTCTGGTACTGTAAATGCTACAACAAATATACTGCTCAGTGTTCGCTAATGTTAGTTAATGCATTTTTAACATAAATAATTAAAACCTTATGTTAAAATTTAACTATAAAAACTAAGTTTAAATGAAACTAAATAATTTTAATAAAACTAAATATGTTAAATAAAAACTAAACTACTGTTTTCACAGTAGCTGTTTTTGTAAAAATGTCTGCAAACTGAAAGCATGCATGTGTTGCTGCCTTACCAATGTAAATATTGCCTTTTCTAGAATCTGGAAGCTTGCTTTTCAATAAATGAAACTCATCCGCAGGGTTGTGCCACTTCGAAAATATATTTCCTGTGTATGATGGAAAATTATTAGAGGGGAATTTAGAAAATGTGATTTCTTGATTTATAAAAGGAAATAAGCAAATAAGCTGCCATCACCTTGCCAGTTGAAGCATCCTGGAGCACCGAAGAAGATCTCACTGAATGTAACGGCAGCAGACATCCCTAACAGACACATGCCTTCACTGTTCTGGGCTTCTCGGGGGTCGCAAATCTCGTCATACGACTGCCATTGATAATCACTAAGGTTGAGCTGCAGGTCATTTCCCCGAACATAACATCTCCCAATCATGCGGAAGTTGCTAGTGAAGTTACGAATGTAGCGATGGCCACAGGCCTGTAAAGTAATGAATGTTATGTTGAGATACTGATTAAAATTTTATGTAGTTTACATATTGGGAGAAATTATTGTTAAGGGATTTACCACAACACGGCCCCCTGGTTGACTCTGACTGACTATGGACACACCAAGCCACATGCCATCTATCACATAATTTTTAAGGTCTGGTTTGTCTTCAGGATCTGTAGAACACAAAGAAGTTATTTAGAAATAAGTAGTAGCATGCTAGAATGCAGCAGATGCCCTTCCAGCTTCAACCCATTACTAGGAAACATCCATACACACTCATTTACACACATACACTACGGACAATTTAGCCTACCCAATTCACCCTTATGCATGTCTTTGGACTTGTGGGGGAAACCGAAGCACCCGGAGAAAACGAACATGGGGAGAACATGCAAACTCTACACAGAAATGTCAACTGACCCAGCTGAGGCTCGAATCAGTGACCTTCTTGCTGTTAGGCGACATTACTACCTACTGCCCCACTGAGTCGCCCTTATTATTATTATAATTATTATCAATGAAAAGTGTAGAAAATAAATTTATTTCTGTTTTAAAAGTACGTATAGTAAATATACAAACAAATGTGATAAAAACACAGCATAGACAAATAGCAGATACATCAACTACTACTACTACTACTAATAATAATAATATCGTCATTAACAGACTTTTTTATTAGCATTAAATAAATAGATACACTATTGATATTGATAAAACTATAACTTTTTGAACTATTCCTAATGAACAATTTATTTAAATTTTATTATCAATTATCAAAATAGATCAAATAAAGTGATATTTGTTGCCTCATATAAATGACAAGAACAAAAATAATCACAACAATTATTACTATAAAAACCTTTAATATCATATTAATATAATATATTCAGATAATATAAAATTAAAATTGAAGCAAACTGATAAAAATTAATACCTCAAATTTCTATAACTATATATAATAACAACAACAGTAAACAACAAGCATTATTTATTTAATTATATTATTATTATTTATTTATTTCATATTATTTAAAAATACAATATTAGAAACTAACAGCTTATCAATTTTTTTATTAGGAATTATAAACAGGCAAGCAAACTAACTAATAAATTAACTAAAATAAGGTATTGATTGATTTATTGATAGATTCATTCATTCATTCATTCATTTATTCAACTCTCATAATATCATATTAATACAATACATACTAATTATATAAAATAAAAATTGAAGCAAACTAAAAAAAAATTACTTAATTTGTCCTATATTGTTTTTATATGGTTTGGGAGATAACAACTAAAATGTCTATCACTATATATTAAAACAACAACCGTAATATTAATATAATAAGTATTATTATTATTATTATTATTATTTTAAGGCGGCGCAGTACGTAGTGCTGTCACCTCAGAGCAAAAAGGTTGCTGGTTCGAGCCTCGGCTGCTCAGTTGGCATTTCTGCGTGGAGTTTGCATGTTCTCCCTGTGTTCGTGTATGTTTCCTCTGAGTGCTCCGGTTTTCCCCACAGTCCAAAGACATGCGTGTAGGTGAATTGGCTAAGCTAAATTGTCCGTAGTGTATAAGTGTGAATGAGTGTGTGTGGCTGTTTCCCAGAGATGGGTTGCGGCTGGAAGGCCACTCGCTGAGTAAAAACATGCTGGATAAGCGTGGCAACCCCAGATTAATAAAGGAAATAAGCCAAAATGAAAATAAATAAATAAATAAATTATTATTTTAAAATATATAATTAGAAACTAACACTTATTTAATTTTTTTATTGGAAATTATAATCAGACAAGCAAGCAAACTAACTAATAAAGTAACTAACTAAATTAAACTAATTTCATTATATAAACATTTTTTGATTGCTAAGCCATGAAACCATATAATCATGCATTCTTGGTTGTTGGTGCGGTTTTCCCTGTTGTTTTCCTGTTTTCAACAGTAAAAATCACAAATTGTACCTCTTCCCAACAGGGAAAACCACTAACAACAACAAAAAAAGTATCATGTCTTTGCAATCATAAAATGTTGCTATAATGAGGTCAATGGGGCAAAAACAGCCACTAGCATAACAAAAGAGTAGTAAATTTGCCCAAAGTGTATTGTTGAGTTTTTAAAAAATTCCCAAACATTTTCCCAAAATGTGTCAAAATAAGATCACCAAAAATCATTCCATTTGTTAAAAACAAAAAGAAATTTGTGGCTTAATCAAGCCTCAAAATCACCCCAGAGTGGATGAAAACATCCACAACAGCACACAAGGGTTAAATATTGCAAATGGGAAGAATGTAAGAACAAGCACATTTAAGACTTCTATGGCAGAAGAAAGGCATACTTGAGCTGATGAGGTTCAGTCTTGCACAGTCTTTGGAGTCTGCAGAGATCGGACAGGCGTAAACATCTCCCGTCTCATTGGCTGACAGTCCAGACTCCGCCTTCTCTTTTGGCGCTCCTACCAGAAGCCTGAAACATGTATAAACCCAACTGAGCTCAAGTCTCTCTCAAAGCAGAATATTAGACATTACATCTGCCGCAGTACCACAGTAATGGTCATCTGAGACAACAAAGCACATTTTTCACACAACACTTTTCAAGGATAAATCAGAAATTCACCTTCGGCAGTGTGCCAGGTATTGCTTGTATTCCAGAGTACCCTTACAATTGAGTGCACATTGCAGATAAACACCAGCACTTCTAACACTTATCTGTCTGAGCTTGTCAGGATATGTGAACGGATTCTGACTGGAAGGACTTGTCAGAACGTATTACTTGCGGAACACAGTGAACTGTGGACAGAAAACGCCACTGAAGGAGCTCCTGGCGTCTATCTATTTGCTGAAACCTGCTGTTAAAAGTGGCAGATTATTATAAAAAAACTCTAGAAAGCACATGAGACTGGATCACATTTTACTTAAATGATCAGTGGGGTTACATAATACACTTGGGAATGGATAACTTTACGCATTCATGTCTCTACTTCTCTTGCATTTCCATAAGTGAGCTATTATGACACACTCTCTCTTCATTTCTTGCCGGGAAAATTGCTTACTTGAGATCCGCCTATGAACAAGTATACGATTTGATTTTGATTACAAAAAGCAGGCAGCTTAAAGATATAAGTCAGGCCGAAGACACCCCAGTGTGGCATCCTGGAGCCTCCAGAGCCCTCGAGGAAAGCGGGCAGAATTAAAGAGGCATTTCAATTAAAGCATAATCACAAAATCAATGAAATTTATTTCAATATTTTGTGAGAGCACGACAGACATAATAATGACTAAAGCGCTGCCTGCCTGCAAGCTCGATTCATTAAAGTTTCATGATTTTTCGAGACACGCACCCTAGTTGCTATTTTATCCACCTTGCAGCCTGAGGCCTCATAAATATTCTACTCTGTGAGGGATGAGATCTCATCAGATCATGACTCGTGTCTAACAGGATTATGAATGGGCTTTAGTGGGCAATGCGGTCATTTCGTCCACGTTTAAATTCCGTTTGGTGAATTTAAACAGAAATGCATCACGTCTGACAGACTAATCATCACAGGTTTCATTTCCTCCAATAGAGGACTTGTTATAAGTACTTACAGAAAAGATATAGCAAGAATTCTGACATGATGAGTAAGATTTTATAATTATTATTATTATTACTATTATAACGTTTCAGTTTGCAAAGAACAATTGTCCGATTGTATTAGTACTGTGGTACCAAATCACATTAGAGTTTCTGTAATACCAGTATATCAATAGTTGCCAACTTTGAACATTCCTCTGTGTGTATTTGTCCGTGTATCAAATAAAGCTAGTCAGAATCTGCTCTAAGTCCTGCAGTGAAGATTAATTCATTACTGGTTTCAGCAGGGTTTTCCTTTGGAATTTTGATTTAGATTTTTACTTTTATGAGTAAAATGAGGTGTGGTTACAATGCTCATAAAACAAAAGTTGTTGTTTTGCAATTTATAGGTATGTGTTTCATTAAAATGTCAATTTAATTTGTTCCATATACAGTGCTAAGCATAACTGAGTACACCCCATTTTGAAATGGAATAGTCTTATCCAGTTCTCAGTGAATATAGGCAATGCATTTAAACAAAACTGATTTAGTAAGCAGATATATTTATTAAAATATTATTTTATTCACCAAACATATTTAGAAATCGAAAGATAATACTACAATACTACAAAGATAAGACTACAAACTACAAAGATAATATTACAATATATGTATAAATTTAAAAAAAAAATAAAAATAAAATTTCTCTAGATTTTTTCTCTTTTTCAAATTTGTATTTGATATTTTTCTATAACAGAAATTTGGGTGAACTAGTTTGTGGACCGTTATCATTTTGTAAGATAAGCTCCAGATTTGGTTTCAGTACTGACTAATTTAATGTATATGCACAAATATAATATTGTAAAGCTTCCTATTAAAAATATAGAGAATTAGAAAGATTTATGATGCATGCTGAGCTCATATACGCTGAGCACTGTACAAGTACTGAAATACTATAACAAACAATTTGTCATTTAAAATACATTTGCATTATAATGCATTATAAATAACCAAATGTGTCATTGTTATCTTCACACATTTTCAGACATGCTTAAATTCCTTTACTATTACAGTTAGGGCTGCATGACACTAGAAAAATATGATATTGCGAGATTTTATTTTTCTAAGATAAATAACTGGATATGAATATAGTTTTACAAGATGGAGGAGGAAGTCTGGAGAATCTAAAAGTATTCAGGTACAGAAATTGAATAAATCCTAATGCAAAAAATTTGTTTCTTACTTCGTCTCGTTTCAATTCTAAATATGTAAAATTCTTAGATCAAGCAAAAATATAGTTTTGATTTCACCTTCAGAAGTCAATATTAAAGAGCCCCTATTTTGCATTATAAAAGGTCATATTTTGGTTTTGTTGGGTCTCCAGCAACACAATCAAAAACACTTTCATTGTCTTATTATATACACTTAATTTTACCAAGTTATCACAACAACTTCCATATGATTTGCTTAGTGATTAATTTGTTCCCAAACCCCTCATTTGCATGAAGCTAATCTGTGGTGATTGGTCTGATGACACTGTTGTCTGATGTCTGTTGTGTAAATCGGTAAAGAAATTGGTAAGTGTTGCGTATTCAACGTGGTTTTAGACACGATATGTGAAAATAAAAAGTTAACCAGATACAGTACAAGCCACGTGGAGTGATTACAAATAACAAAACATAATTAAACATGTATTTTGCAAGCTAAAGGATACAAGGAGGCAACCATTTTAAATCTTGCTTACAACTTGAGATCAGGAGGAAGAAAATGGTTCATATGAACTGTGTACTGACAAAATTTCCGGTCAAGGTCTGACAAAGTCCCATACATATTTTCATCAAATACTCTTTGCTGATCCTTCCTTAAACAAATGGCAGCCAAATCACATGTTGCAGGGTATGGTTATTATATTAAGCATCAGAATGTTCACTCAATAATGTTTACTCGTATTCAGTCATGATTATTCCCACACAAACCTGCACTCCGCTAGTGTTTGAAAGGAAATGTATGTTTTACCATATCCAGCATATTTGGCATCATTTGGTTTCATGTCTATGTCAATACTAACAGGCAAAAGATCCGAACGAACAACAAATCATTAAAACGACTCTGATTTGGCTAAGTAAAAAAAATCTAGTTTTCACTTTGAAATGTAGATATTTGGGTGTAACGAGACAAAAATTATAAGTACGTTTTTTTAGTAAACATTCTATATAAATAATTAACTACAATTAAAATATTAATACAATTTTGCTACACCTCCAAACATTATATTGTTTTGTGCACAAATGTTTTAATCTCTTTTGAAATGCTCATTCACAGCCCTAAAAACCCAATAAAGCTTCACTCTATTATGGTTAAACGTATCAGTAACTCTACAAATAACGTGTTTTATGTAGCTGCTGGTCACTAAAACTTCAACTTAGCATTGCATAACTTGTGATGTGACTATTGCAAATGTGCACATTGCAATATCGATGCTGAAATAATATATTGCGCAGCCTTAATTTCAATACAAGAAATATAGGTGAATAATAAAAGTCATAAAAAATCCATTGCTGTACATTGCAAGAATACTGCAATTCAATAAATTCTATTATAACCATTCACCCCAATGTCATTCCAAATCAAGATACCTTGATTTCTTTCTTAAGAAACCCAGCAAACAATTTTATGTTTAATAGAAGTCTAATAGACATCTAATAGTAGACAGCTTGGCTAAAAAACAAGGCAATGAAAATCGAATAAACATCTAAGAAAAGCCCAAAACTAGACTAGTCGTCAAGTAGACTGTCATGAGTTTCAGAAAGGATGAGGGAACGAGGACTCAAATGCAACAGAAGATGGCTTTTATTTACAAAAAACAAAACAAATAGATAACAAAAACCACCCCGGGGGGAAAACATAACTAAACACAAAAAGGCACCCAAACTTGACTGAGCTGGCAAGACAGGACTGGAGCAGGAACACAGGGGAGTATTGACGACATACTGGCAAAGGACAGCAGACATGAGGAGAATATAAGCAGAAATAATTAACAAACATACAGATTAAACATATTAAACTAATAATAGGTTAACAATGAGTGTGGGACTAAACAATAAACAGGAGAGCACATGACACAAAAAAACAACACAAGCCATGTGCTCACACAAAATGAGACTAGAACACGCAGCCAATAAGAGAACTCATTAACCGCTGTTCACATGAGACACTAAAGCATGTGGCGCATGTAAACACGTACCATGTGCTAAACACAACACCAACAGAAGACTGAAGCAAAAAATGATTACACAATAAATGAAAAAACTCACTGTGCACTCACACATGCAATGTGCATGTTTCATCCCAGCACCACCCGAAACCAACTTGACTGAGACGCTGGGAATGAAACACCACACTGCAGACAGAACAAACACAAACACCAGGACGAGAGCGCGCGTCATTTCATCGTTCTGAGAAAACTCGAGCCGAGCACAACATACAAGGCAAGACAGCACTAGTGTCTGGACTCTGCCACAAAAAACAGAATTAACAACACCAGAGTGACAAAATCCAGACATAGATAGAATAGACTTTATGTGTGTAGTCATTAATTTCTAGTCTAGTCTAGTTTTGGCTATTCTTAGTCTTCTATTCTTTCGTCTATTAGTTTTTTACTGACAGCCCAAATTTAGACTTGTTTTAGACAAGACGACTATGTTTAGACATCTGTTGGACATCTATTAGACATCTTTTAAACACAAAATAATGCTTGCTGGGAAAGAACCTTTCATTTGTTTTGTTCCTTTCATGAAAGTCATCGAGGCGCAAAACAACCCTTGACTGCCATTACTGTATATCTTAAGGGTTCTGCAAAATATGCCACTCAGGTTTGTAAAGACTTGAAACAGAAAAATTATTAGAAATTTTGC